CCCCAGTCTGCATAGTCTGTTCCCTTTGCTAGAATGTCTTTCCTCATCCCTTTCTTCCAGTAAATTAATTCCTTAAAACTCCATGTGTTCATTATTTATGGTCTTAGATCTTTCCTGACCTCCTGCAGAAAGACAAATTAGCAAAACCATAATTTTTATGCCTTACACCTACTTGTATTCATTCCTGCTTTAGAGTCTGCACTTAATCTTTCCTCTTCCTGGGATGCTTTTCCCCAGTTCCTCACATATTAGCTGTGTCTAATCATTTAGGTCTCAGCTCAAATATTACTCTCAGCAGGCCTTCTGTCCACTTGTAATAAGCAAACAACTCCACCATCACCCTTGTCATTATCATCACCACCCTTCTATCAGAGTTTAGAAGGACCTTCCTCAAAGGTACCAAGTCCCCACACCCACTCTGGATCAGACATAAGCTCAGGAAGCAGCGCCATATGGGTGGGCTTCCCTGAGCCCACGCCACACAGAGTTCAGACCCATCAAGGAATTTCCAACCCTCTGCTTCCAATACAGGATCAACTAGATACCCTAAAAAACTCAGATGCTTGTGCATCTGATGACTCTGTTTCTGGTCCTCATCTCAGGGAGCAGCCTGGCAAATAGATTGCTCCAGCTAACTGGCTTGATATTGTCATGAGAACATGAAAGACTGGGTGGCCAGAACAGTGCTCAATTTACTTGTGTAGACACAGATCCCCCATACCCTGGCAGTGGAACTATTCCTTCACAGAACCACATAATCTGAAAGTGCACTATTTATTTGTTGATTTTCTGAATGCTGACCCACTACAAGTTGAATGTAAACCCTATGAAGAGAGTGACCAGAGTCATCTCAATCACCATTGGATGTGCAATGCCCAAAGAGTTCCTGGAACAGAAAGAATTCAATAAATATCTGTTGAGCAGGTAAATGAATTATTGCTTTGGTTGGTATGTTAAATCACAAAGCTCTCTCATCCTCTAGGCTGTAAATTTCCAGGACAAAGGATCCTGTCTTATTCATGTTTGTCCTCATGATGGCATAGTGTCTGTCATATTAGAAGGCATGAAATCAGTGTCTTTCAATGAATAAATAGATGAATGAACAGATAGATAAGTAAGCAAATGAATTAGCATATATTATCTAGACTAGAGCTTCTTCAGACAGGGTGCCCAGCCATCCAGGCTCACTCGGGGTACAGGCATCTCCCAGGATGCAGGAATTTCTGTGCTAAAACGGATGGTCCTAGGCAAACCAGGATGGTTAGTCACCCTGTGCTGATCCAAACTGTCTCTCAGAGCCATTCTTAAGTGACATATTTCCAATTTTTGAAGTCAAGACTTATTAGCTTCATGTTTTCATTTGACACTTCCCTTATTACATTCAGGCCTGTAGCTCACCTTGACCTCGATCACTGCATCCTGCTATACATTCTTGATCAGGTTTGTGCTGCTATTATTGACTTGGGTAACAGACAAATTTGTGACATTCAAACAGCAAATGGAATGAGCAAATCATTACAGTATGCCAGCAGTAACCAAAGGATCTGCTGAGGAACCAAAGGAGAACTCTCATACAGGATTGGTGGGGGTGCAAATTAGTTAATCTTGGATGGAAAACAGTAGGGAGGTTCCTCAAGAAATAGAACTACCATATAATCCAGAAATCCCATTAGTAGGCAGAGATCACAAAGACAAGAAATGAGAATGTCAAAGAAACATCACATCTGTTGCAGCACTAGTCATAATAATCAAGACATGGAATTACTCTAGATATCTGCCAAAAGATAAATGGATAAAAATATATTATATATTGTACATAATGAAATTTCATTCAGAAAAGAATGGAATCATGTCATTTGCAGCAACAGGGATAAAATTGAAGACATAACGGTAAGTGAAATAAGTCAGGCACAAAAAGATAGATATTGCATGTTCACTTATGTTTGAAAGCTAAAAAGTGGACTTCACATAACTAGAATAGAATAGTAGTTATGAGAGAGTGAAACAGATATGAGGGAGAGAGGAAAGAGGGTATGATTAGTGGACAGGAGTGTGCAGTTGGATAGGAGGGCTAACTTCTCATGTTCTCTAGCATAGTTGCATAACTATGGTTGACAGCAATTAGTGCTATATTTCAAAAGAGCTAGTAGAGAGGATTTTAAACATTTCAACCCCTCCCCCCAAAAATGATACGTGTGAGGTGATGGGTATGCCAGTTACCTCAATCTGATCACTGCACATTGTGCATTTGTATCTAAATGTCACACTCCACTCCATAAATGTGTACAATTGTTATGTGTTAATTGAACTAAAAATGCATTCTAAAAGGAAAAGTAAAGAAGCAAAGGGAAAGACAGAGCACCAGCTTTTCAAAAGGCAATCCCAATGAGCCTTTACTTTTCTCTCTCTCTCTCTCTCTAAATTAATCACAGCACATTTTGACACAGTCCTGTTCATCACTGGTTAATGCCAGTTGCCCTGGTATGAGTTTTTGGGTCCCTGGTATTTTCTGAGAAGATAATCTCAGATAATTTTCTGAGAAATAATTTTCTGAGTGGAAAATTCCCTATGGAAACTGAATTCATCTTTCCAAACACTGATCAATTTACTCCAAGTGTGTGGTTTATATACTAAACCCATCAGTGTTTGACACCATAATCAGGAATATTCTTCCACTCATGAAGGGAACATGGCCCCACAGCTCCCCAGGGCCTTGTTATGCAAAGCATGGTCCCAGGTTAGCAGCAGTGGCATCACCTGGCAGCCTGTTAGAAATTCAGAAAACAGGCTTCACCCTAGAGCTACTGTGACACAGAATTTGTGTTCTAGAACATTCTCCAGGTGAGACTTACTCATGCTCAAATTTGAGAAGTGCCCATCTAGCAAACACCTGGCTTACCCGATTCCCCACTGCAGAGCCCACAGGGCAGAGGCTGGGTGAGCAGGAAAAGAGGCTCATGGCATTCCCAGCCTCTGCTGCATGTTAGAAACTCTCCCATGCAGCGTGATTTAATTGGTATGGGTAATCCAAGCTTAGGGATGGCTTCACATCTCCCCAGATGATTCTTTGTGTGGCAAAGTTTAGAGTCACTGATATGTTTATACCTAAGTCAGCAGGAACCCTGGCCCTACCTCATTGCTCCCAGTCTCCACTGCTGATGAGCCCAGAGGGAGGGGCAGGACACACAAGGCTGTCCCTCCTTCCTTCATGCACATACCAGAAGCAACAGTGAGCAGAAGAGGAGAAGCTCGCCAGGTCTGAATCTCACCTCTGACATGATGAACACTGCTGTGGACCCTCTATTAGTACTTATTTTGTCTTTTATTATTCACTCCAGCTCAATTACCAGGATTGTTTGAGTCACCGCATATGGCAACAGGTAGAAACATCTAATAGTTTGCCAAACTCATGTTAGATGTTCAAAATATCTGAACCAGGGAAGATTATTTTCTCTTTGTCTTCCTCCCTTACTCGTGGGACATTCAACAGCAAGATGTCTCTTCCCCTGTACACCAAGGGTGTTAATAAATTGTGAAAAACCTGCTCACATGTTAATTCACTTACGTGACCCGTTTCAGTCTCTCGATATCTCAGCCAGGCAAAATAGGATAATTCTTCCTGTCTCCATTTCACTGATGATAAAACAAAGGCTCAGAGTTCAGTCTCACACAGTGGTGAAATTACAGGTCTGGGTGGCCAGTGTTTGCTCTGCTCATTGCTGCCTCCATTCTCAGTCACACATCCAGCTGCCTGCCAGGTTGTATTTATGGAGCATAGGATATTCTCGTATAATAGAAATGTCCTCCTGATTGTGGCTCAAGACCAACTTGGACAAAAGTTTGCAAGAGCCTACCTCAAAAACAAGCTGAGTGTGTGATACAAGTCTACATCCCAACAACCCAGGAGGCAGAGATAAGAGGATCATCTGAGGCCAGCTCAGGCAAAAGCAGGACACCCTATCTAAAAAACAAAAGAATTGAGGACATGGCTCAAGTGATAGAGCAGTTGCCCTGGTTTCAATACCTATTACTTGAACAAAAGAAAAAGAAAAAAGCACTGTCCTCTGCCTGTACACACCAATTCAACAGCAGCTACCCACAGCTACTGAGCCTTGAAATGCCACTAATGTGACTGAGGAGCTAAAGTTTCAACTTTAATTAAGCTAAATTTTAATGACCTAACAGCCACATTTGAACAGCACAGATTTAGAGGGTGTGGAGAATGAGGATCTGGAAAAGTGACCCAGTGGTGTCCATCACAAATGAAAGTAGACGAAGACCACTGTGTGGCTCAGCAATGGTTTTTGTTGTCATTTTCGGTTTTTCAGTGCTAGGCATGAAACACAGAGCCTCATACACACTAGGCAAGGGCTCTACCTCACATCCCCACCCCCTGCCTTTCTCTTAGATGTCTCACCTCTTTTTTTAGTGCAATGGCAACATTAGCCCATTAGTTGATGAGGATGCCCATCACGCAAAATACAGTTCCAAAGTCACCTTGAAACCAGACTGGCCAGCAGCAGCAAAATGTGCTGGAGAGAAGAGCTTCTCAAGCCATATGTGCACACAACAGGCCTGGGACTGTGTTAAAATGCAGACTCTGACTTAGCGGATCTGGCTTAGGGCCTGAGGTTTGTAGTTCTAGTAAGTTCTCTGGTAATGCTGATGCAAGGCCAACTTTGACAAGCCAGGCTGTAGAGCAGTGGCCCTCAACAGGCTGCCTTTGTCTCCCTTGGTACCTGGGGGCATTTGGCACAGTCCAGAGACACTTTTGATTGCCATGACTGAGAGGATGAGGGTGGGAGGTATTGATGGCACCTACTAGGTTGAATCCAGGGATGCTATTAAACGATCTACAACATACAGTAGAAGTATTACTGTACATTCTGCTCTTCAGGAAGAGGGGATCAATGGCAGGGTGATGGAGTGGATCTTCTCGGCATAATGACTGACCATTGATTTGTCTCTCCTGCTCTTTTCTCCCACTTGTCTATGCACAGGAGCCAATGCCTCGGCCCCAGACCAACTGAGCTTAGCGTTAGCCTGGAACAGAGTGGACATCGCTCGCAGCCAGATCTTTATTTATGGGCAACAGTGGCCGGTAGAGTATATGTCATCACCCCGAAAAGCCCACTTGCTTGGGCAAGGGTATTTGTTTAAGGAGCCTTTGAGAGTGGCTATGGAAACTACTGCATTTTCTTTAGGATGAAAAACCTTCCTTTGTGTAGCACTGTCCCTGATCTAGGCACCCCTTCTCATAGTTGAGGAAATGCTGCCCCCTGGTGGAAGTTAGAGCTAACACAACACCAAACATTCCACACGTTTTCCTTTCTGAGCAGCTTGATAGCAACTTTCAGCTGCAAAAATAGCCTTTAGTATGTCTTTAAAGACACATATGAAATTGTATGGATTAAAATTAGGGAAGGAGTGGAATTCATTTGTTTCTGATTGCCTTTGAGGCAGGCAAAAAGAAGAGGTGGCAGCTTCCAAGTGCAGACCCCATGCTGCTTTGTGGCTGGGTCATGCCTCAGGATGCAGAATTAGCAAGCCTCCTTATGCAGGTGCCATCTGGTCTTGGTGGCTCAGCCCAGGTCCTCCCATTCCCAAAGAACAGCATGAGGGAACCAAAGCTTTATATAATTGTTCTTGGTTTATTTCCCTCAATTCACTCTACCAAAAATGAAGACTTAGGGAATTCACCATTGGGTGGTATACGCACACATCTACAGGAGTCAACCAGCAACCTGGAATTTGAGTTCTGTGCTTAGAATCACACTGCTAGTGGGCAGGTCTTTCTTAGTTCTTCCATTCCCCAACAGCTTCTTTCTGGCTGTGGTTGAGCACCTGTATTCATCATTGCTAGTGGATTGCTAGCATGGAAATATTTGTCAAGGAATCTGGACATTAGGAAATTTTAATAAAAGGAATTGCATAAAAATGCTAGCCAGTGGAAAATCCAGAAATTAGGTTGTTCTTCTAGTGAAGCAACACCAGTTGGCCTCTGTCTTGCCCATTTCTCCCCAGAGGTTGGGTTCTATTTTGGCCCTCTGGTCTCCTTGGGTTCCTCTTCTCAAGTCAGCTGGGGTCTCATTCAGAGCCCAAGGAAGATGAAAACAGAAACAGTGGGAAATATCCACTTCAGCACTTCAATTGCATTGGTAAGAGAATTGGGGCGGGGGGGTGGACCTTGTAAACCCTTGCATCATCTCAGTATCCAGAACAAGAAAGAGATGTAGAGAAGAAGCAACTTCTGGGCCAAGAAATCCTTGACTTCAATTTCCCATGACAGGTCCCCAAACACAGAGGGGGACAGAGTGGAGCTGTGAGCAGACTCTCTAGCATGTACTTGGATGTGCTAAAGTTTTATTGATACCAAGGCATCCATTTTTAAGCTGTTTTTAAGCATTTTTAAGCTGTTCGGGTGAATACTGAGGAACCGCAACCCCTAGAACCTGGGGCAGACTAACTCAATGACTTGATTTGCAGGTGGGGTCCCTGGAGCAAGCCATGTTGGATGCCCTAGTTTTGGACAGGGTGGATTTTGTGAAATTGCTCATAGAGAATGGAGTAAGCATGCATCGTTTTCTCACCATCTCCAGACTAGAGGAATTGTACAATACGGTAGGGCCGAGCTAAGGCACTTTTTACTTTCTATGTGTATTTTTTTTTCCTTCTCCTGTCCTCTACATGCCTGTGATTCTCTTCCCCGCTCCCCTTAAATGCATGGATCATTCTTCACAACTACTCCCTTAGACCTATGTAGACAACAAACATCAAGTCACCAAGATTCCACTTGTTTTAACTGCTCAGTTGTCAATATCTAAGGCAAAGTTACCTTATGACCGAGGGGTTTTGTCCTCAGATTTTTAAACAAAGCCAAGGTTCTAGAAATCAGAGCACAGTTTATTCTATAAGCCCAGAGGGGGCTTGAGGCAACTGGCAAAGGATGATTGAGATTGATTTAACTCCAACCACCCAATGAGGCCAATTAAGTATCCTGTACTATTTTGTTATCTTCAAAACTATGAAGTTCATGCTTTTTCCATACTAGTGAAGTAAGATGTAAAATACCTCTTGTTTGGAATTACCCAAAAAAAGAGATTTTTATTCTGTTTACAGCTGATATTCTCTAAAAGTCAACGAAGTTTAAAGAACTGAAGTTTTTCACCATTTTATAAAGGAGGAAACAAGCTCCCCTATTCTATTTGTGCCGCTATAACAGAATGCCTGAGGCTGGGTGACTTATAAAGAATAGACATTTATTTCTCACTGTTCTGGAGGCTGTAAGTCCAAGATCAAGGTGCCAGTGGGCTCAGTGTCCAGTGAGAGCTTCTGTTTGTTTCTAGGATAGCACCTGTGGTTTTATCCTCTGGAGGGGACAAATGCTGTGTCCTCTCATGGCAGAATTATAAAAGGGCCAACTGTATGAAAACTCTTCTGTATTGGCCTTAATTCCATTTTCAAGGAAGGAGCCCTCATGACCTAATCACCTCATTATGACCCCACCTGCCAATATTTTTGCACTGATGATTAAGTTGAATTTTGCACTGATGATTAAGTTGAATTTTGCAGAGGCACAAAAATTGAAACCATTGAATTCAAACCATTGATGAAGGCCAAGAAGTGATTTCTTCAAGGTCACAGAACTTCTAAGAAAGAAGCCAATAAACAACCTAAGCTTCTATTTCAGAAATGACTTCCCCCTCACTGGACACAGTATCACTTCCCCCAATAAGAGAGGGCTTATTGCTCTGTCCCCAGCCAGTGGTTGGCTTTCGATGGTGACACCTCAGCTCTATCTCATTCCACTACAGGAAGTAAGCAAGTAGCAGCGTAGTTTCCGTGTCTGTGCTCTCTGCAGAATTACTCCAACACATGGAGACTCATGGACATAAATAAATGTCAGAGTTGAACAGATCACCAGTCAGACAGCTAAGGGAATAGACAGAAAAAGAAAGAAGTAGGAAAGCTCTAGACTGAGAAAGGCCAGTCAATTTCATTATGCTTAGCAGCTGGTGGAGGTTACCTGAAATATTCTGTGGAAAGAGATTATGTGACAGTGAATGGCCCCAATGATAATAATAATAATAATAATAATACATAGTATTTATTGAGTGCCAAGCACAGGCTTTAATATCCTTATAAACATGTCATCATTTAATCTTCAAACAACCCTATCAAAAGAAATTGTATTATTATTCCCATTTTAGATAAAACTGAGTCACAGTTAAGTTCAGAGCCAGGTTTGGAGCCAGGAACCTGACACCAGAGCTTGTGTGTTCAGTCACTTCAGAGCACATCACTCTGTTGGAAAAGAGATCTGATATGTGCTTCACAGAATAGGTAGGTGGTCAAGACAGCACACAGGCATCGCTCAGTACTTAATGTGTAACGACACGTTTACTTAAGGATTTGCCATCACTATTTTAGACCCTTCAATCAGGTTGCCAGGTTGACCAAGTAAAAATAAAAGATACCTCGTTAAATTTGAATTTCAGTAAATAATAAGTAATTTTTAGTGTGAGTTCAGTTCCCCTCCATACCTGCATGGGATTGGGTCCAGAAGTTTTGCAGATAATGAAGTCCAAATCCTTATGCATAATGGCATAAAACCTGTTCAATATATGTTAAATCATCTTTATATTACTACTAACATCCAACACAAAGTAAATGCTATTTTAGTAGTTGCCATATTGTTGCATTTAGGGAGGGATGACAAAGGGGACAAAGTCTATTCATATAAAGTATGCACACTTCTTTTCTTTTCTTCTCTTTATTTTTTGCTTTTTTGAGAGAGTCTCACCATGTAGCTCAGGCCAGCCTCAAACTATTGATGCTCCTGTGCCAGTTTCCCAAGTGCAGGATTGCGGACGTGCACCACCACGCCTGGCTACAATTGTCTCCCTAGAATATTTTCCAACCACAGTTGATTGCATATGCAGATGCAGAACTCATGGACATAAAGAGCCAACCCTATATTCCAAGTTGTAGATGGAATATATTTAAGTTAAAAAATTGTCCATTGACTATCATCTGAAATTCAAATTTAATTGGTCAACCTATAGTTTATCTACTCCAGAAAGACAACTCATTTCACGTCATTCTTACTTTAAGCACACATACGTACTTTCCCCCAGTCTCTCTTTTCCCCAAAAAGAATTCAGCTTTTTCTTTAAACCTGGTTTCAGCAACTTATCATCCAAAATTCAAATCTAGCCTAATTCCTGTTTCTCTATAACTGAAAGCTAAGAATGGCTTTTTAAGATTTTTCAATAGTTGAAACATTCAAAAGAAGGATATTTTATAACAGATTAAAATTATATGAAATTTATCTGGCATGGCAGCACATGCCTGTAATCCCAGCACTCAGGAGGCTGAGGCAGGAGGATCGTGAGTTCCAGGCCAACCTGGACTACATGTAAAGGGGCTGGAGGTGTGGCTCAAGTGGTAGAGTGCTTTCCTAGCAAGCACAAAGTCCTGAGCTCAAAACTCTAGTACCACTACCAAAAAAAAAAAAAAAAAGAACCAAAAAACAAAAACAAACAAAAAAAACTGTCTTCATAAATAAATAAAAAGAAGAAATTTGAGTTCTGTGTCCATAAAGTTTTCCTGAAACTTAGCCTACCTCTCTTACATAAAACCTATGGCTGCTTTCCCAATATAATAGCAGTTAAACAGACTTGATAAAACTCTGTAGTCCACAAAGTCTAAGATATTTACTATCTGTCCTTTTACAAAAAAAGTTGCCCAGCCCCTTTTTGCAATAATTTCTCATTCATTAGGTGAAACAAACATGTTGTGATGACAATTTGCCAAAAGAGTTTTTCCTGTGGGATAAATTGACCCCTCTGTTTCCCCCACTGCAAAACTAGCTCCTTCAATGCTGCTGGACCCAGCTGTCACCAGAGTTGACAATCTCCCTTATAAAGTTTGAAACTAAAACCTCAAACACACTTTCTGGAGCAAATACAATCCAAAATTGTGCCAGTGTGTTTGTTTAGAAAAGACAGGTACAACTGAGCAACTAGAACAAGGTCCATCGTGATGACCTGTCCCCACCAGCCAGACCCTTCCTTCTAGATCCTTCTTCTCTTGCCATTTAGAGCCCCTGACCAGCAAAACTGTTTGATTCTTCTTTATTGTTTTCAGAGACATGGGCCCTCAAATACATTGTACCACTTGGTCAGGGATGTCAAAAAGGTAAGAACCCTCTCGACTGCAGGTCGGAGGTCCTGTCCTGACTGCTTCCTGTGATTAGACAGCGTCTCTGTTTTGCATGTGTTACCAGAGTATTCCTGTCCCTGCCGGTCCCTTCAGTCCAACAGTGTGTGCGTGTCTGTCTTGTAACTCGGACTCCTCTGCTTACAATGCAGCTGTAGACTCATCTCCAGTTGCCGTGGTTTAGATGCTGTCGTTGGACGTAATGCTTTTGGTTTGTGGAATCTAGGCTTTTCCCCATGCCATGTGGATTTATGCCATTTCCTGTCTTTTCTATATGCCCTTGACTGTTTGAAGCTACTTTCACGGTGCCTAACTGACATAAGAAGTGCCTTCACTTGCTGGTTCCTGATGTAAGATCACTTCCCGCCTCGTACAAAATACAAAAGCCTCAGAGAAGCCGGGACTATAACACATATATGCATTCCATTCTCCTAGCACTTTATTTTTCCAGAACATATTTTCATATTCATCATCTCATTTGATTTTTTTAAAAGCCGGTAGGTTAAGTCATGCAAATTATTCACATTTTACAGATATGGAGGCTGAAAGGCAAGGAGTAAGAACTAGATTCAGTATTTAGTGAAGAGTAGCAGCATTAGAACTCAGATCCTTTAATTAATAATAAAATAACAATAGCTGTGATTTAATGATGATTAGGATCACTGCATTAATACAAACTTTCTATGTATCTTAATTCATCTAATCTTTACAACAATTACAAGTAGAATTATTAGTATTGTCTTATTATTAGGTAGTATTACCAATTGAAAGATGAGAAGCCTAAGGTGTAGGAAGATGGTGTTGGATGTTAACCAAGTGTTTAGTCTCTGCCCAGTCTCCATAAGTGGTAGGTTGGTTTCTGAACTCTTTACTCCAAAGAACAAAATCTATGGGCCCCCCCAAACACATGCACAGGTGTGCACACGTACACACATATATCTACTGCTACTAACACTTTGTAGTAATTCTTTACCCAAGTCCACAGGACACACTAGAGAAACCTGCAAGATGAGATCAACACTAAAGGAAAATTTCTTCCTCTCATAAGAAGTCATTGCCTAGAATGGGCCTTTAGGTGAACTGTAGCAAGTGAAGCAAAGACCCAGAGGCTGATTATAGCCTATTTTAGCCTACTGGACTTTTGATAATAATAAGTAAAGCATATAAAAATAAAAACCACCAAGAAAAAAAACTCACTCCTTTTCTTTGTGTTTTGTTGTTGCTGTTTGGTTTTTTGTTTTGCTCTTGCAAACTCCCACCTCCATGCAAACTTAATGAAGGAATTTTTCATCTGTGTGAGTGAGGGAAGCCTGGATCTCTTTCAAAGCAAGGAAGGGAAACAGATGCTACATAGACCCAACTCAATGACCACTCTACCAAGAGCACAGCTTTCCTTGGTCTGCTCATTCCATGCCACGGTAGCATGGCTACACTCAGCAAACCCATCTCTCTTCCCTTCATACCTTTTCTACCTTTGTTTAATTTATCCTGGCTTAAAATTGCCTGGAAACTAAACCCAGAATATTAGGGGTGTTCATACTCCATGTTCTCTTTGCCATGCTAATTGTTGCTCGTGTTCACCAGTATATTTTGAGCTTTTCTAAACTAATAAATCGGGTACTATTCCCTCACCTTAGCTAGATTGTGAGGCTTTCTGATGAGACCCACCATTGACCAGCCCAAGCCTTTGAACAAGTCACCCATTTATTTCCACCACCCATTCTTCCCACAGTAAGGTCTTGCCAGAAGAATTTTGTAGTTTTTGCTGAGCATAAATGATCAAAATCCCTCCTGTTAGCTTCTCTTCCCCACAGGACTCGGCTTTGCAAGAGCATTTTCTCTTTTCTGAAATGCCTTGAGCTGCCTCGTGCATTTGCTCGTATCACTGGTATTATTAGGAGGCCTGTAAAATATCCTTAGGGTGAGTTTTTCCCCTTTTTAAGCTTTGTATCTAAAAATATCAGCCAAAAATAATACATTTTAACAGAATGAACAGGATGGTAAGAACTTGGGAAGAGGAAGTATTAGCTAAGAACAGACCTTTTTTTGTTGTTGTTTTAAGTGTGACCCAAATATTGGAGCAACAAGATAGTTACATAAGCATTCATTTACTTACTAATTTAGTAACTGGAAAAAAAACCACCCAGAATAGTACTGAACTGGCCTAGCAAATCATCTTTTTACCTGGGAAAAGAGACCACTGGCAAAGTAGTGAAAACAGAAAGGCTGTGTTAAGTTTTTTCCCTTGGAAGAAGTAGTGATAGGAATGCAGGTTCCAGTTATTTCTATGATAAAGGTGAGTGTCTGTTATTTCTATGATAAAGGTGAGGTTATTATGGATAATAAGGAAAAGCCATGGTGATCAAAGGAGCCAAAAGTGTCTACAGTTTTTGTTATATGGATGAAGGGAGCAGAAAATGAAACTTTTTATTTTGTGTTTCTTAAAGTAGAGAATGAGAGACAAATTAACATTGCTGCACATATTTCTCACATGGTTCCAGATGACTTCCACCAATTTAGGTCAATCAGATATTCAGACGCTACAAAAACTAGGTTTAAAATACTGAAAGTGCTGGGAAGTTTCAGCAATTTTCAAAATTAAGGAGCACAATAACAGGTAACATGGGCTTTCTTCTATACAATACATATATATATATATATATATATACACACACATACAATCTGTAAAAAATCATCAGTAAATTATAAACTCTAGTACAAAATGTTGTTCATGAGTTAGTAACACAGTTCTGGACCTTAAACATAGTATTTGATAATCTGACTGTAAAATTAAATATAAATAACTCCTGTAAGCCTAGGAATACATTTAGGAATTGCCAGACTGTCGTAAGTCAACCAGCATGGTATTTCCACATCGAATTATTCTTTAAACCAACAGAACTGAATGTGGAAAATGGCTCCTCAGCCAGTTCCAACATCCAAATTATTTCTATCAAGGGAGCAATCTAGGTGCAATGAGGTAAAGAATTGCTATTCAACATCAATCAGAAATTTGAATAGATATAAGCCAATCCAATTCCACGAACTGTTCCATGCATAAATCCATTGAATGTATCAATGCTCTCATAGTAACCCAGAGTGGCCCAAGTCTGTCTGCTTTTCTGTGAAATAAAACCTGCCATTTTAGTAGCTGTCTGCTCAATTTGTGCCTCTGTATGTTTTAAAGTAGTAGTTTTTTTTTCTTAAATTAAATGTGCTAATAGTTCAGATTACTTATACTATCCTTCCCCACCAAGAAAGGATGATGGATGTTTTAATATTATATAGAGGTAGTGGTGAAATTATAATAATTTAAAGTTCATTTACATATACACTTACTTGGGTCTTAATTAGACCCAAGTCTTACAGAATGCAAGAAACAGAGGGAGAGAAATAAAAAGATATGTCTAAAATTTTGGATAAGGAAAGGACATTTTCATAAGCCCTTCTGCTAAATTCATGCAAATTTGCAAAAGCATTCTTATTTTTTTTAAACTACCCCAATTTTTGACCTTGCTAATGTACCAAACATTGGGTAGTGTCCTTTGACACTTTCCCTGCGTTTTCCTGGTGATTACAGGTACCAACTCAGCCTGTCTTTCCTTATTATAGAAACTGTCTGAGGAGAGGTCTGTTCCTGCCTCTCCCTTGGCAAACCTGCAAACCAGCAGTCATTTTCCACTTTTCACACATCAGTAGGAAACAGTCTTGTTTTGAAGTCTTATTATGAGTTTCAAAAAAATGTTCCTAAACAACTGAAATATAATAGCAGTAACATAAGCCAACATTTGAAAAACAGTTCATTTTGAAGAGGAGATGTAATATGTGAACTTGAACTTTCTTTAATTAGGATACCCTTAAGCACAGCATGGGTTAAACCTTACCTTTAGAGTAGCTGATCATAGCATGAAAAAAAGGGAGACCACATTTTCAAGTTGTCAGATTGTACCTTCCCAAAGCCCCAAGCCTCTCTATCAAATTATTTGAATTATATGACCTACAGTGTTATTAAGGCATGAAATGGGGAATCACTCTTCAGGCTTTCACAGTTACCAAAGTAATGACCAAAAGGGTGGGGGAGGGTATCAGAAACAGCAGGCAGAATAAGTGCATCATTTTTTTGACTTCTGATTTGAAAGAGCCCTAAGTAAAGGAAGACTCCTCCAGAAGTTTTGACATTACCTGTTGGTATGCGAGTACCCTTCACCTTCTCTGCCTTCTCCAGAGAAGATGGATATAATGAATGCAGCACCCATCCCTGCCTATGCTTTTCCAGTCCATTGCCTCCTAGTCCCTAGTTGCACTAAGCAAACTTCAGGCAATAGCTGGAAGCTGCATCAACCCTGGAAGCTCTGGACAAGGGTCTTTGCCCAATGGCCTGGCAGCATAGAAATAAGAGCAGCTGCCAGGTATTGACCATACAACTGGACTTCGAGAAACAGTCAGGACCAAAACACCTATTTTCAGAGCATAAGCTGAGGTACAGAGGAAGACAGAGCTCTTTCCATAGTCACGTGGACAGAGTCAATTCCACAGCCCTGCCCATTGCTATTTGTACTAGGGAGCCGTATCTCTGGCTGTTCTCTGCATGAGTGTCCAAAATGTCCCTGTCTGCCCAGCAATGGTCATCCTAGGAGAAGCAATGCAAATGCTTCACCTGTAACATCTGCAAGCCATAGAAGGTCAAGGCCATCAGCCTACCACTTCAACATTTACCATTGCCATCCCCTTCAGAGTCCACCCAAGACATGCTTATCCCAAGACCCCTACACTGTACCCAATTTTATTCATTTTATGAAATATATTTTTTCTTCCTTAAAAGATTTCTACTCTTCCTATGTAAAGCTGATTTCCCCTCAACTTCTCTGCCCCCAAAAGTCTCTGGAAAGAAACAGATCTAATCAGCCTTACAAGTAGAGTTCAGACACATTACTTGATGAAGTAAGCTTTCCCTCCTCCAGATATCATTTCAACAAGAACATCTGACTCCCTCCTTATCTTCCAATCCTTCCACCCACTTTGTATTCCTTTTATTCCGGTACTACACAAATAAAACAGAACAGGCAGATAAATACTGGTGAGGGAGAAATCTCAATGGCATTGGTTATGTGAACATCGCCCCCTTGTGGTCAAACAAACTCACTTGAATGGTCAGAATCCTTTCTTCATCTTCAGATCTGACTGCATATAAATCAATCTGAAATACTCAGCCTTACTTTGAGAAAATTCCATCAGCTATATATATCCCTAATGAACCTTTTTGGGTAAAATCATTTGTTAAAAATTTTTTCTTTGCCCTTACATTTTTATTTGAATTTTACTGCTACAATCACTTTCCTGACAATTCCTCTACTCTTACAGACAAATCAAACACACAAATATTGCCATTCAGCATTGTCTTCAGGCAATATTGCTGTCTCATTCTGAGAACTTAAGCTAATGCTCATACCTAAGTCTCTCAAAACAAAATACATATGTATTATTCTCACTATTACCTGTGTCTTAAGTTTAGAAGATTCTTACAAGATTAAAAGTGGGCATAAGTTGCTATACTTGTTTTGAGTTAAATTGCCCAGTGAACCAGGGCTATCCCAACCAAGGATAACTAAGACATTGTAGCTAGTTAGTTCAGTTCCTGAGAACATAATACCAAAAGCCTAAACCTAGACTGGATCCCAACCACATCAATTAATTTCATGGTTTTATTGGTTTATAGTTTCAACATAAAAACATTCTAAGCACCTACTACACCCCAAGCACTATAAAAGGCATAGGAAATGCAAAGGTTTTTAAAAATTAAGAAAACTCTAAAGCTATAGGTTTAATGATATGATACATGCTCACCCCTAACTCTGAATCCCAAAACCTTCAAATGGATGCCATTGTCCACAGGAAAGCTAAGCAAGGATGACTGAAAACCTGCATTCAGCGCAGCAAGAGTTGAGTGAATTTCCTGTTGACAAGGATTCCCATTTCACACTCTTAATGCCCATTTGGGCTGTCATCGCCCCCGAACCTTATTTAGTAAAGAGGCGTTTCACAGACTGGTGGATAGCAGAACCAGTGGGAGTTGCTAATAAGGCACACAGAGGCCTAACATGTTATACTAGGCAGGACAACTGCCAGTCCTCTACATTGTCATCAAGTTCCCCAGGTGATTCTGATAACACCAAAGTTGGAAAACCATCACTCTAGATTGGGAGTCTTTTCCATAAAGAGACAGAAATCCTTGATGAGTCCTCCACTAGGGACAAAATGAACCAAGACCCTGGTGACTCTGAAATCTCAGGACATGATGCACCAGGCTTCCTACACAATGTGATGTGGGCCATTCCTGCTACAGAATGCTCTCCTGCATGAAGGAACTAAGCCACATGGTAAGAGCTGAACAACAGCACCTTCTAGAAGTCACTGTGCACTCAGAATTCCCCACAAATGGAACTACTTTTTCCCTGACTAACAGAGCAAGGATTTCCCCAGAGCCTAAAAGAGTTCTCTTTTGAAGGGCAAAGCAGTAATAAGTAGGTAACAAAAACTTTTCTGACTTTGCCTCTTTATATGGTAAGCCACTAAAAGATGCACCATGTTTGAGGCCCTGGGTTTGGTTCCCAGCACTGAAAAAAAAAAAAAAAAGAAAAGAAGAAGAAGAAATAATTAAAAGTATACCATAACTCTAAGATCTTGATGAACTGCTGTTCTCTTTGAAAGATAAGCTGAAAATTCTCCTTAATTCTGGGAAGATATTCCATTGATAAAATGTCCTCTCCTCTTCTTCCCCACTTCTCTTTAAACACAAGGGATGTTCACATACAACTCCAGCCTGACACCTTAAGTCCCCTCCTCCACACCTGTCTCCTTTATGAAAACGTGCCAATCTTTTAAATAGATAATAGAGGTTTTGTGTTAGAGACCTGAACTTAAGCCTTGCTGCCCTGGTAATGACATTCATCTTCAAAGAAGAGTCTTCCTTTAGTGAGTGGGAAGAAAATCAATGATCTGCAAGACGGTGGTGAGGGGTGTGGGTCAGAGACAGCGAGGGGGCTCAGGGACATTTGGGGAACCTTGCTCCTGGTGGCAGGGAATGATGGCATTTTCCATGTCTGGCCTGTTGTGTTTCTTTCTGCTACACTGGTGTTTTTTTCTCCCCAGCTGAAGACCTGAATAAATATTTTGATTTTCTGTTATTGCCAACGATTACTGCATCTTCTTATTTAACTTATGTCTTCTTTCCAAGCGAGAATATCCAGGTTTCGGTTGGATCTATTTTAAGGTGAATTAATTAACCAGCATAATAATACATTCATATGTTTCTTTTTTTTTTTACATTATATTTTTTTACTCTAAAATACTTGCAGAACACATGCGATGGAATCCCTAGTAAACCACGCTGTCTCTTGGATGTTTGTTTGTTCAATTCGTCCCTGACAGGGGAACCTGCCCCCGGACTACAGAATCAGCCTCATTGACATCGGCCTGGTCATCGAGTACCTGATGGGCGGGGCTTACCGCTGCAACTACACTCGCAAGCGTTTCAGGACCCTCTACCACAACCTCTTTGGCCCCAAGAGGGTGAGGCTTCTTGAAAATTCCTGGGCCCCCTCCTGGGATGACTAGGGTGTGAGAGGTTTGGGGTGTGGCTTCTTTGTCTTCAAATGCAAGACCAGTGGAGAAGGCGATAACTTCTCCACTTCCCTCTTCCATCCAATGGGTGAACAATTTAATTAAGTTTAAAATGTGGCAACAAACACTGTTAGTTACTTTCCTTGAAACGGCAGTCTCACTTGGGTCATTTCAAGAATGCCTATCCAATGTCCAAGTCTATCTCCAATCTGTCTGCCAGGCATTAGTTCAAGTAAAAATGATATCCCATGAAAAAATTTGACCCAAACAATTGCATAAGTGTTTTTCTGCAGGACATTCCTCACAGGGCACAGTGGCAAAAGTACTATAAGGGCAGTTTTCTGTTTTGTCCACAAGACAGTATGGGACATGGAGTCAAGGGGGAAGATTTAACCAAGTTAGTGATTATATAGGGCTTCTAGAACATTCTGAAATGAAACTTTTGGGGTTTGGTGGGCTGATTGCGTTTTTTCTCTTCAAATGCCTAGCAGGGGGGTCTAATGGCAGTAGTAAAGTTGGGTACCACTGCCTTTACTCCCCACAGTTTTGTGCCACCTGTGCTACTATGAAATGTCAGATCTCAGTTACATCTTAGTATTACAGTCTATGAAACTTGGACGTCATTCACCCTTTGAAAGGGTATCAGGGACCCTCGCCATACATGGGTGAAAACTGTGTCTCCAGCTGGTGGTGGGCATGATTTTTCTTTCTTTTCTTTTCTTCCCCCCCGCTTTCAAAAAATTTTAATGGTATTTTATTTTTGTGGTTTTTATTTTGGGTGGCTATTTTAGAAGCTGAAAGAGAAAGGGAGAGAGGCTAGGTCAAGTTATTCCAACTTGCATAGTCACATAAAATTTGGAGGAATTTAACTTCCGAGATGGCATCCAACCATTCTGTAATACTGAGAAGCACAGACATGGTACTCCTGACCCCTGAGGTGTAATTTTCTATCTCCCCTTGTTAAATAGAAACCAAGCTTGGTAATTTGCTGAGTTGCTTTCTCTGCCAGCCTCAGTCTGTGCCTGATTTGCACATCCCCAGCCCGGCCATGATGCTAGCTGGTATGAGGACATTTTCCATGCCAATTGCACTTTTACCACCCTCAGCACCTGCCCTGTGGCCCACTCAAGCTTGCTCTGAGATTTTTCAGAGGGGAGAGATATCTGATTGAGCTGTTTGATTGAATGTTTCCCTGCTTGTCTTAGTCTGTTCAGGCTGCTGTAACAAAATACCATAAGCAAAATAAATCTGTTTCTCACAGCTCAGAAGGCTGGGAAGTTCAAGATAAAGTACCAACAGATTCAGTTTCTGGGGAAGGCCCATTTTCTGGTTCATAGATGGGAACTTCTCACTGTGTCCTAAAATGGGAGAAACAGCAAATCAGCCCCATGAGTCTCTGTCATAAGGACGCTAACCTTAATGAGGAGATCTTCATCTAATAACTTCCCAAAATGTCTACTGTACTATCATTACCTCAGGGGTTAGGATTTTGATGCATGTATCTCGGGGAAGGGACAAACATTCAGATGATAGCACTCATTCAGGTACCAGATGGCATGGAGGAATCAGCCAGGCACGATGGTTATTGGAAGCTGAGAGAAATCTTGGTCCACAAAACACGTCATAAACCTTCAGGTTCCAACCTTGAGCAACCTCATATTTCTCCAGTTTCCCAATTTTCTGTAGTTCACCAAAATCATGAAATCCCAAATTGTCCTAGAATTTCTATAAATTGATTCTTCTTGTAGTATTTTATTCAGTGAAATAAAATTAATGCTATATGGTATGATAGAATTTTTATATTACCTTTTTATAATATAGTAGAGTTCTTTTCTTAGCTTAATGAAAGAAAGATCTAACTTTACTCACTTTTTTTAACAGCCTAAAGCCTTGAAACTGCTGGGAATGGAAGTAAGTGTTTGCTTAAATTATCAGTGTCAATTACTCTCTTAATTACACATTAAAAAAATGTGAGTACATTTCCATGGTAGAGATTAATACATGATTCTAAAACAAGGAAATAAATATTTTCCAAATGTCATGGGCCCAACTCACAGTAGCTTTGACAATTCCACCATAAGGTTATGTTAGCCTTGCTTACAAACAAAAAATAAATCCTATTTGAAATACTAACTTGAAAAACAAGCACGTAAATTCCAGTAAGCAAAATCTATTCATGGTTGTTTATGAATGGTCACAGATCCAAAGGCCAGAATTACTTCATGGATGCATCTAATAGGTGTGTAGAAACTCACAACAGATGATCTTTCAGGTCTTTTGTTCAAAAAGCTATTGTCATATAGGCAAACTTGAGTATAGAATATCCTCATTCTTTCAGCAAAAAAAAAAAAAAGGGTAGGGCTGTCTATCATGTGGGACAAAAAACCCTAGAAGAGGAAAAAAAATGAACAAAAGTAAACAAAAAAAGGAAATGGCTCATAAAATTTTTTTTCTAATTTTTGAGATACGGTGTCACTAGGTAGCCTAGGCTGGCCTCAAGCTCGACATCCCCCTACATCTGCCTCCCAAATGCTGAGATTATAAGTGCACGCCTGGCTTTAAAATAATATTTAAAGTATAAACTAATATGTACATGCATTTACTTAGTATACCTTATTTTAAAATTAGCCATGGATGAGCTTTTGAGTTCTTTTAGAATAGGAGCTGGCCTGGTTCGTTTCAGTATTGATCCCAGAGCTAAGCCAGTGGAAGATGTACAATAACTATGTAGTGAATTGAGCTGATTCATTTCCAGCTGAGCCTGTATGTTTTTTCTGCAATTACAGGATGATATTCCCTTGAGACGAGGAAGAAAGACAACCAAGAAGCGTGAAGAAGAAGTGGACATCGACTTGGATGACCCTGAGATCAACCATTTCCCTTTCCCTTTCCACGAGCTGATGGTGTGGGCTGTCCTCATGAAGAGACAGAAGATGGCACTGTTCTTCTGGCAGCATGGCGAGGAGGCCATGGCCAAGGCCCTGGTGGCCTGTAAGCTCTGCAAAGCCATGGCTCATGAGGCCTCTGAGAATGACATGGTTGATGACATTTCCCAGGAGCTGAACCACAACTCCAGGTTGGCCCGCCCAGCAAATGGGGAGATCGGGGGAGAGAAGGGAAGGTGGATGCCACAATACTTTGGGATGTTACCCCGGTAGTGCATCCAGACAGTGGCATGATTCACCTTTACTGCACACAGTACACACATGGAGGCATGTACAGATACACAGACTTCACTTTATCCTCTCATCTACCCACAGTCTTGGGCAAGGTCGCACATTTGTGATTGACAAGGCTGGGAGTCGAACTTCAGGTCTGTCACATTTAAAAGATACTCTGCACTATAATCAATCGTAGGTTGATGGATCTGCCTCTCCTATTTATATATCTTAACTTTGGGGTCTTTAGTACAGGGATCATGCCTTGTTTGACTTACTCCTCTCTTTAAACATGGTATCTGACACAGTGAATGCTTACTGGATGAACTTAGGAATAGACCAGACCTGACACAAAAAAAACCTACTCCACACAGAACCACCTTTCACGGTTGGCCATTGGGTCCCCCGCTTTTGTCATATAAGCCCCAAAGTTGGCCTAACAGACTCTTCCAAACATTCTATCTTTCAGGGACTTTGGCCAGCTGGCTGTGGAGCTCTTGGACCAGTCCTACAAGCAGGATGAGCAGCTGGCCATGAAACTGCTGACATATGAGTTGAAGAATTGGAGCAATGCCACATGCCTGCAGCTGGCCGTGGCTGCCAAGCACCGGGACTTCATTGCACACACGTGCAGCCAGATGTTGCTCACCGACATGTGGATGGGTCGTCTTCGAATGCGCAAGAACTCAGGCCTCAAGGTCAGCACACCCAAGAAGGCCCTGTCGCTATGAGAGCCTCAGGGTTGGTTGGAGTGAGTTTTCCAAACCAGCTCTGCAGTGGGATCGGGTGTTCTCTTGCCTCAGAAGAGAGGTGCTAAACACTGTTCATCAGAATCACCTGAAAATCAAGACCTGGGTAGCGTCTTGATTTTCATATAGAGCCTAGGGCCTCTGCAAGACCTGCTAAATCAGAACCTCCAAAGATGGAGCCTACACATTACTACTATTTTTCAGAAGACTCATGCATAGGTTCCATAGAGGGCTCCATTCTCTCTAACACGAGCTGTACTGCAGCAGGACTCCACCCAGACCACCTTTCACTCTGTGGGAGCCTGACCCCTCGCTATCTTGCATCATGCCAAAGAGACATTGGCTCGTACCAGATGGGCTTAAGAAATTCTTTTAACTGAACTAAAAATGAGATAGATTTGTAGGTCAAGACATTGCTGTATAATTCTGATCTGTTCTTTTTTTTAATGATGCTAGGGAAGCAAACCTCATACCTGCCACTGAGCTACATGCCCTGAGCCCCTGATCATTTTTCAAGTAAAGAAAATTGAATTCTCAACCACATTGTATAACCCAAGACCATTTGTAAGGGTGTATGTGTAGTTAAGATAAATAAATTTAATTGAGAAAAAACAGGATGGATACATAGCAAATTTTTTGTAGAGGTTACTTCTGGGGTTGAGACGACCATATGAGGGACTTGCTTTTAAGAGTAATAGGATGCTGCAGAGCTATTACTTTGTTTTCAGTGCTGGGGTTAGAACCTCATACTCTAGGCAAGCATTCTACCACTGAGCTACATTCTGGTCCTGCCTTTACATTCTCTAGTGCTTTTTTCAAAGAAAAGAATGGAAAAATGTAAAACAATGGGAGACTCATGATCTGAAGAGCGTGGGGGGATTTTTTTAGTTTTTGTTTTCATTTTTGGGATGACAGGTTTTAGATAGATAGATATTTAAGATGTATGACGTGATACACTTTTACGTAGTGAAATGGTTACTCAAGTAAGTGAATTGATACACCCATTGTCTCACACAGTTAACTCTTTTTTTGTTTGCATGTGGCAAGAACACCTAAAATCTATTCTCTTAACACATTCCCAGTGTAGCACAAAATGTTAGAACTGTGGTCTTTGTGCTGTACACTAGAGCTCCAGAGTTAGTCACTCTACATATCTGCAACTTTGTACCCTTTAACCACCATTTTATTGGACCAGCCCTCTCTCTTCCATTCTACCCTTCCCATGGGCTCTTGACCCACCGTCACAGAAGGGTTCCATGAAGTCAGCCATACTGGTAGTGACTGCCAAGCCTGGTCTTGGGCAGAGAACCAAGCCAGCTCTCTTCTCCAAGGACAGGATGTCACATCCCCCAAAGAGCTGCCAGCATACCACTAAGCCTCCCCAGACCTGCCAGGTACCCCGAATTCAGGTTCATTGCTGTCTTTTTTTCCCTGACTGCTCTTGAGTCCCCATGGGCATTTGGGCCCCGGCTGTGTCTGCCTCATGACTCAAGCATCATTATTACTGATCCTTCAGGATCTCTCTGAGCCCCTCGCCTTAGTGTACTTTCTTTGAGGAGGCTTATCTTTAAAAGGCTTGTGCTCCAGGATCATTTTAGTATTGAGAGAGGCCGGAGAAGACATGGAACACAAGTCAGATGTTGGTATTATCATTCAGAAATGCACTGTGTTCTCTGACAATGGAGAATGAGTTTGCTCTCTCACAGAAAGGGCTGTGTAATTAGTACCTGCACATAGAGATGTACTGCTGGACCCTCCTGGGGCATTTGTGCAAGGGGACATTCCTGATGAACACATATTTCCCAGGACAGGGATGGGAAGGAGAGGGCATTTCTGTTGCATAGTAGCAATTGCTTTCAGAATGTTCTACAACGAATAAAGTGCTTTCCTATGTGTACTCTCTCGGGTCAATTTAGAATAACATTAATTTACAGAGATAATCAGATAACACATCAACTCTACTTGATATATTAGCAAATAAATGCCAATGAACAGATGTATGAATTGATTCTACAAAGCCAAAATGCTATCTAATGGTTAAATGGAAATCTTAATTCCTTCCTACTTTTGCTTCGGATAGGGCTTCTCTTTTTTCCTCAGTTTTCCCCCAAACAAGTGGGTGATAATAGGGTTAAATGTATTTGAGCAAAATAAATATTTCTCATATGGAACAAAAAAGTGACCCATTTTACATTAATGTGTTTAGATATTCAGATGTCCAAGTCCTCACACAGGCCATGCAACGCCCATAGGTACACACACACACACACACCACACTCCAGGGCCTCTGATTCTTAGCAACCTAATCTTAACCCTTTAAATGTGATTATTATTATTATCATTATTATTACTTTAGGTAATTCTGGGAATTCTACTTCCTCCTTCAATTCTCAGCTTGGAGTTCAAGAACAAAGACGACATGCCCTATATGACTCAGGCCCAAGAAATCCATCTCCAAGAGAAGGAGCCAGAAGAACCAGAGAAGCCCACAAAGGAAAAAGAGGAAGAGGACATGGAACTGACAGTAAGACAAAACCTATGCAGTTATCCTCTGTAGGCAGAATCTCTAATTCACTCGTCCTGCTGAAATGGCTAAGGGTTTAATAACTTCTGAGGTCAGACAGCTGCTCCCTGGGCTCCCACCAGGTTTAATCCAGGGCACATTCATGTAAGTATTGAAATGAGGGTATCATAAAAATGTCTTCTTTATACACAAATAGGATGACTGTTGGATCTAATTGTATGTGAAGTCCTTCAGCCAGCCAGTGGTTCAGGACAAACCAATGAAATTCAAAGCAAGCCTCCCTAAATTTTGCAGGCAAGCCAAGGTTTATAAGCAAGCAGATGATGAGGCAGTCTTAGCACATGAAAAAGAAAAGGAATCCATGACTTGGGAGCAGCCGGCTTCATTGAACTGGAACTGTTTTGCTGATCAGTAGCTAAATTTGTGTCAGTCTTCAGGGTCAAACTCACAAATACAGCACTAATTGAATTTTGAGGTTTGTATGGAAAGCTTTTATTAGCTTTTTTCAGTGTAATTATAGAACATAGATGCTTTGTTCTGCAGAGGGAACAGGGCAACTGCGCATGGGACAGCTTCCCACAACCTCCACCCTAGCAGTGTGACTGCCACTGGCTTGTGTCCAAAGGCTAAAAATATCCTGTTCTATTAAAGGGACACACAGGGCTTCATAGCTTGGGAGACATCAAGCAACAACTCTAGAAAGACTGTCTTGATATGCCTCACCCTTCCTCACCACCCTGTCCAGGGGCCTCAGTGGTAATGAACCAGAAGGAACTGTGAAAGGAAAAAAATGAAAATTGCTTTTGCTCAGGTGACAAAAGACCTTTGCATTATTCACCTGGTGGGACCACCGTGAGAATTGTTCTTCCTCCAGATGCACAGATTTCTTTCCTACAGATCTATTTATGGACACAACTCCTGACTCATTAAATGAGAAGCCAGCTTTTGTTTCAGTTTCGTGATCTTCATAGAAATCTTTGTAAGGGCCTGCTCACCTCTGCCATAGCATCAGGACTGCCTTCCCTAAAGATCTCACCATAATGTTGGCCTCTGATCCCCTTCACAAATGAGAAATGATATTTTAAGCATAGCAGAAACATGGGTAGCAATAATACTGAATAATTATTGACTGTTAGCTGAGAGGGGTAAAGGATGAGTGCTCTGGAGTCAGAATCCTCCTGTCCCATTACCTACTTGCTATGTGACCTTGATTACAGTTTCATAACCACTAGCATGGGACTAATAACTTTGTCTGCCTCACAGGTGGTTGTATGTACATGTAAACTACTTAAAGTGGCAGCAGGTACACCATAACCATGAATAAATGCACTAAGCCCTCGATATACACTTACTCTTGGAATCCTGCTCAGTGTTATTCCTATTTTACAGATAAAGAATCTGAGACTCAGAAGTAAAATTGTTCAAATTTACTCAGCTAATTAGCTGCAAAGCTAGGATTAGAACCCAGGCATAGGGACTCCATTAAGTAGCTTTGTTAGCCAATAGTTAAAGGGACAGAGAGAATTTCTTCCTAATCTCGCATGCAGACACTCAGCAGGTTAGGTTCACCACATGGTAGAGAAAAATTCAAAAGTGATGCCCAAGCCTCCTAAGTCAAGTGTGGTGTGGCCTTGGCACTGAGGCATACATCCTAGGAAGACGGCCAGGAGCAGAATTCACTTCTCTGTGGTTGGGTCTTAAGGAAGAAAGCGAAAGGAGGCACTTCCCCTGATCAGCCCAAAGCCACAGTAAAAGATGTCTCTCTAGACTGAGAGCACAATTGCTTACCAGAGAATAAGCCTGAGTTCAGTGGGAGCCTGAGTAGGAGACAGGGCTATCACATTACTGTCTGAGCTAATTCTCCCCAGAGAAAGGAGAAGACTTATGGGCTGCAAGCTTGGGATGGGACAGCAGTTGACTTTAAAGTGGAACTTCCTTTGACCTGCCAAATCTCTCCCTGCGTGGTCTCTGGTCAGCAGCTCACCCTGACAGAGTTGTTAAGAGCAGCTTGTTGACAACTCCACTTCCTTCATAGGATTGACATTTGAGCTTCTGATAAAACCAACATCTCCTCTCTTAGAGTGGGACATCTTTTAGCTCTTCTAAAACCATACACAAAAACATCGAGCTCAGCTTGCTAGTTCACCTCAGAGGCTCTTTCTCCACTTTGGAACCTGTGTCCAGCCAGCAAAGTTCTTAAGTCCATCCTGTGCAGTTTTGTTTCCATCTGACCCTGTTAAATTCTGCTTTAAGGCATTTCAAAGGAAATGTTTGACTACAGGAAAAAGAAATCAACAAAATCATCAAGTTAAGCTGCCAAGGCTGGACTTAATGAAATGGCAAAAATTGCTTTGCTTAAACCCATGAAAGACAAGTCCTTGGTTAACACATTCACTTCAGAATATCTATAAATGTTTTTTTAAGTTGTGGTGTTTTTTTTTAATTTGTGTTTACCTACTTGGCCAAGTAATTGATCCACCTTGCACTTTGCTTAGTAAAAGTCCTGACATGTTCAAAGCTCCAGAGCAGCCCCTAGCTTTGCTGGGGAAGCCAGTGTCCCTAGTTGTTGTTACCCCAAGATGCCTAAAAGTCCTCAACCTGTCTTTGCTTTCACCTCATTGTATCCCCAAATAGTATTGCATAGGAATCAGTAGAACAGAAACATGACAATTAAGTTGCATAAACTATAAACTATAAACTATAGAAGGTCAAATAGAATGTACCTTCAGGGTATCTTGAGGTCAAAGATCAATGTTTATAAAATTCTGTTGGGATCTACTGTACTGTATCCATCGTGCAGACTAACTCAGCTCACTGGTAAATACAAATTCTTAGATAGGCCTTAAGGTGAAATCTTTTCTATTCATTAACTCAGAGTACTTTTCTAGCTGGATGGTCACAAAAGAATAGGAATTACCTTCTCTAAAAATCCTGTGATAAAAGATAAATCATTTGTGATTGTCACATATTTGAGTGCAGTGGTTATTTGAGGTAAGGATCGAAGTAGTTGAAACTAAGATTTGTATATTTTAGGTAAGGTGGTTTGAAAATAGAGTTATATAGTATTTATCTCTATTCTCAACTTCAAGACAAACTTAAATTATTGCTATAATTAGATCTCTCAACTTGAAACTGGTATCCAGCCCTCTGTCCTATCCCAAACCCCTGTCAGTCATGGTAAGTTGTGATATCTTGCTTTCTCACATAAGAAAATTTTCATTTCCCAATGTTGTTGAGCTAATCTTGTCTTGGCACAATATTGAAGCATTAAAGTCAAGAAATTACGCTGTTATAGACTCTAATACCACCCTTTTTTTTTCCAGTGAGTGATTCCAACTACAGTATCCAAGAATGTCTCAGTTCACTTTAAAAGACTAGCTAATAGTTACTGAGCAGAAATTAAGGGCCAAATGCTAATTGATTAGCAGATCAACCCTATAACAGGGACTCTTAATTGCCCCATTCTAATAGTTAAACTAAGTCTCAGAGAGGTTAAAATAACTTGCCCAAGGTGCTGCAGATTCTAAGTGCCCAAGTTAGTACTCAGTCTCCCATTTGAGTGGCCCAAAGCCTGGAAGTTTTCACTGTTAGAATCTTCAGCCGTATTTGGGATATCCTGTTACTTGCTACCAAATAGGTATGTATCTGCCTTTTCTCAGATTCAGCCTTTCTGGCAATATTAAGTCATTATTGATACTGCTGCGTTGCCCAGTATTTGTTTCACTTTTTTGTTTTTGTTTTGGGGGGTTGTTTTGAGACAAGGTCTCACTATGTATATAGCCCAGGCTGGCCTGGAACTCATGATCCTCCTGCCTTAGCCTCCCAAGTGCTGGGATTGATTACAGGGTTGTGCCTGTCAATAATTCCATTATTAAGGAGATCTCCAGCACTGGAGACAAGGACCTCTGCAGGTTAAGCCTGCCTGGGATCCTTTCCCTAGCCCTGCCTCATTGCCGAGGAAGGCAGTGCACACAGGAATTGGCAATAAACTGATGCCAGCAGTAACTCAAGTTTTATAAGGATTGAAACCAAGATACCAGTCTGTGGGGTTGAAGAGGTGGTCATAGCTCCAGACACTTCTTGGGTACCTTTGATAAACAAGGGGACTCTGGTCTGATTTGCCTTTCACTTAAGAATCATCAGCATGAATGGAGACAGAATTTGAACCTGTCTCACAATATTTATGGGGAGAGAGAAAAGCAGTGTGGATTCCTGTAGCCTGGCATTCCCAGACAACACTCATTCTCCTACTTGGAACTCTGGGTATCTTCTGAGTATCCAGAGTAGAAGAGAAGAGAATGGTCAACAAATATCCCTAAGGCCTTCCATTCCAGGTAAAGGAAATACTCAGATTATGTACACATATACTTACACTTAGGGAAGGCATGCCCTTTAAATATCCAGGGGGGCCTTGTGTTCTTGGGTTCTGTGAGCATCCTTTCCTCATCTATAAAAATGAGAACACTGAACTACACTCTCTGCAGAGCCCTGCCATCATGGTATCCATTCTCTCCCACTGTAGGCAATGTTGGGAAGAAACAACGGGGAGTCTTCCAGGAAGAAGGATGAAGAAGAAGCTCAGAGCAGGCACCGGCTAATTCCCCTGGGCAGGAAAATCTATGAATTCTACAATGCACCCATCGTGAAGTTCTGGTTCTACACTGTAAGCATCCTTCTTTTCCTCTTTCCTCTTGGTTGGCCACAGGCACCTATGTTCATTTCCCGTGCTCCTGTGTGGTTTTCTCTGCTAATCATAAGCACCACACATACAGAAATGAAAGCTCTGTGACTGCTTTTCCAATAGCTCTGAAAGATTTGTGAACTTGGTTATGTAGCTTCCACAGACTACCTTTCTCCTCTTCACAGAAAGTAAAGAAAATGGTAAAAGTGAGAATGGATAGAAATAGACATGAGATGAGCATGAGTTTAGTGTAGCAGGAGCACAGATGTCTTTTTCCAAACACTTCCGTGTTCTGGGTGAGTGAGGACTAAGTCAGGGGTGCCTATTTTAGATGCCAATTCTGGGCTTAAGAGGACATTTGGTGGCTCAGGGATAAGTACAGGGTAGCAGTAGCACCATTAGACAAGGGTAGCATATGGATGTAATTACTCCAGTTGTACAGCCACCAGATACACTTTCTTACTCAGTCACAATTGAACAACATGCAAACCAAAACAGCAAAAGTCACTCAAAGCAACTACCATCCTGGCAGACAGGATTCAGTCTACAAACCATATACACATGTCGTCTCTACAACACCACAGCTGTCCCTGACGTGGCCTCTGAGATGTAGGACAGGGCTGCTGGTTTCGTCTTCTCCTTTCAATGATATTTTAACTTTAAGGCGGGCCTTTGGCTCATATCATCTCCAATTCTCTCAGTTAGTGAGCTGCATCAGATGAGAGCATCTGTATCTTTAGGCTTTTTCACAGCCAGCTACAGAGCAGTCATTTGAGTCAACAACAGGGCAAGCCAGACCTGAGGCCAAGACAACTCAAATGATAGCACGAGGCACTTTTTGGTGTGGTTGGGCTAACAGTTAGCACTGACTTTAAAGCAAGGTTTTGCAACCTCAGCACTATTGGTATTTTAGGCAGGATAATTATTTGTTGTAGGGTGCTGTCCCCCACCTGTGGCATGTTTAGCAGATGCTAAGAGCACTTGCCATCCTCCAAGGATGACAGCTAACATGTCTCCAGACACTGTCAAATATGTGGGATGAAATCGCCACCAGTTGAAAGCCATTACTTTAAAATATGGTCTTAAAAGAAGATTGGAGATTATCAAGCAGGCACTCTACCACTTGAGCCATGCCCCTCAGTCCAAGATTATCAAAATATAAATATTACATTTATTTTTAGTAAAGCACAAATTCAAATTTACCTTGTGGAAAGCACAGTGGCCTGGAGTCTGCAGTGAGACAGCAAGCTGGGAACCTCATCTATGACTCTTTGTATCATGTGACCTCAAACAAGTTACTTTCCCATTCTGTCCACACTTTGCTTAAAATGGGGTTCTTTGTGGGGTTTAGTGAAGAGCTACGTGTTAAAGTGCGGAAGGCATGACGTCAGTGTAACTATTGCTAAGGCTTAGCCTGTGACATTGCCGTTCCATAGATAATCATCTACATTCATCTGTCCTCCACAATAATATCATTTATTGAGTACCTACTGCATTTGAGGCAATGTTTCCAGGTGCTTGTTTTTGTTTATTTGTTGGAATTTGCTTTTGTTTTATTTTGTGACACAGTCTCACTAAGTAGCCCAGGATGGCCTCAAATGCTACATCTTCTGGCCTCAGCCTCCTGAGTGCTGGAATTACAGGTGTGCACCACCATGGCCAGCTCCAGGTGCTCTAAATACTCTCTTTGATCCTAACAATTTTATCAAGATAATATTGGCACTGCAATTTTAAACCCATGTCTGTTTTTCCTCTTATATTATGCGGCCTCAATTTTCACAACATAGAACAGGGCTTGGCAAACTACAACTTTTGGGCCAAATTCAGCCGCACAGCCTATTATTGTGACCTATAAACTGATAATCCTTCTTATATTTTTATTTTATTTGGCAGTGCTAGGGATTGAATCTCCAAGGCCTCAAGCATGCTAGGCAAACACTATCACTGAGCTATACTCTCTGCCCCTGTTTTATTTTTTTACATTTTTAAAGGGTTGAAATTAAATTATATAATATTTTGAAACACATGAAAATTATATGAAATTTGAATTTCAGTGTCCATAAATACACAATTATTGGAACACAGCCATGCCTCTATTCTCAGCTACTTGGGAGGGAAAGATGGGAGGGTCACAGTTTGAAGCCAGCCTGGGCAAAAAAGTTAGCAGACGCCATCTCAACAAATAAACCAGATACATGGTATTGCATATCTGAAATCCCAGCTCTGCCAGAGGAATAGGTAGAAGGATCACAGTCTGAGGCTGGCCTGGATAAAAATAAATAAAGCCCAAGACCATATCTGAAAAATAACTAACGCAATAGGGCCGGGGGCATGGCTCAAATGGTAGAGCACTTGCCTAGCAAGGCCATGAATTCAGACTCCACTACTGCCAAATACATATGAACACAAACTCACCTGTTTACCAACAGCCTGGCCATTCCTGTGCCCCAACATTAAAGTTGATTCCTGGCAATAGAGACCTCTTGGCCTGCAAAGCCTTAAATGGTAACTCTGGCCCTTTGCAGAAGAAGTCTGCAGACTCCTTATGTAAAGCATAAAAGGAATCAGTACAGGTGATTTTATCAACAACGTTCTATCACTTACATGAAGGGAGGACTCGCCTCTCTTATTCTCCCACGCCATCTCCAATCCATGGTCAGAATCACAGTAATTACAGTTCCTTGACTCCCTAGGTACCCATTTCCTTGTCTCAGGCAGTTGTCAGCCACAAACGCTTTTTCATCACAATTTCAGTGATGTCAGACTCAGCTCCATATTGGATTGACCTGGAGTAGTTTTGGAGTTGTGGGTGTTTTTGGTTTTTGTTTCTTCTTTTTGTGAGACAGGTCTCTCTACGTATCCTAGGCTCACCTTAAACTCATCACAATTCTCCTGCCTCCATCTCCAAAGTTCTGGGATTACAGGTGCATAGGCCATGCCAGCCCCTGGAGTACTGCTAATGCTGACACCTGGGCTCCATTTCCTTAGCTTTGATGCCACTGGTCTGGGCACACTCTGGGCATTTCAGAGCTCCCAGGTACTTGTCAGAAGCAGTCAGGGCTGAGAACCACTGGCCCTGGACACAGAGAAGTGAGATTTTGGCCCGATAGTTCTAAAACACCTAGGATGAAAAGAGGTTTTCTTAGGATTGCCAGTTCCTGGCCCCATCATAGACCCAGCTGAGTCAAATCTCCAGGAAGAAACCTGGAAGGCTGTGTGTTTAACAGACTTCCCACATATGTCCACAATGAGGGAAGCTGGGACACACTGCTCTAACAACAGCATTTGCTGCATGTTAGGAAACTGCCTCTGTGAGGACCAGGCCTGGAGTCCAGCTCCCTCTTGCATGACTGACTGGGTTGGCCTCAGCAAACCCATTACACTGGATCCCTGTTGCATTCAATTGTGTTTAAATAACAATTCTCAGACATCCACAACCATGTTTTGAAAACCCAGGCCTCAAAGAAGTGAGTGGAGATGAGACATAGCAGGCTTTTAAGTCCCCAGAAATGCTTAACCAGAAAATTCGACGTTAGATTAAATGCCCCATTCTCACTCTGATTTCCAGAAGCATCACCCTTTCTCCCCTTGACGATGTTCTGAGAGGAAGGACAGCCTCACTTCCCCAGGACCTCAGCTCCCCATCTCAGCAAGTTTCCCAAGGAGCAGACTGGGTTCTCTTTAGTTCCAAGATGAAGGGAGGCAGGGATCCAATTGGCTCCCAGATCCTGACTGTGTTGAGAGCCTGTTTCAAGTGTCCAGCTGGAGAGGACTCAAATTCAAGGTGCAAAGTGGCTACAGGTCAGAGAACATGATGTGCACTCTGGGTTTCTCCAGCAGTGATGGGCTCTTTCCCAGAGGCCCCAGCAGGTTTGCTGACTTACACAAGATGAAGTACACGAGCTGGCATTTAAATCTAAGTCTCACTCCAAGTCTCTCTGCTACAAGAGAGACACCAAGCACACTATACCTGTATTCAGAAAGTGAACCAGGTTACAGGAGTCACTTAAGCACTAAAATGCAGAACTGTGTGCTAATGTCCCTGGATAAAACCAGGGTAGTTAGCAAGATTCATTTCACCTAGAAGCAATAGAATTTGACCTGAAAAGAGAAGGAAGCATCCAGTTATGGTTGCTTACACCTGTAATTCCAGCACTTGTGAGGCTGAGGAAGGTCTCAAGTTCAAAGCCAACCTGACTTACATAGGGAGCTCCTGTCTCAAAAAAACAAAAGAGAGAGAGAAACCAGGAAGAAAGAAGGATTTCAAGGCAGAAAGAGGCACAAAATAAATTGTAGTTTTAACAGCTGGATTCCTTTCTTTGCAACTGGTAAAATACAGTACTCACAGGACTACAGAGTGAAAGCCAGTGTGTTATGATGGTAAATTGAAGCCATGTGAACCAAATTATGTCTTGAACTAATTTTTAAACAGTGCCCTGCATGGTTATGAGAAAACACTTTCATGAAGGTTTTCAAGATTTCCTAATGATCTTGAAGGTGAGGAGGGGTGGGACCTAGGCATGTATTAACATGACAGTGGGGGGTGTGGCTTGAGGGGGGTTGCAAAACTAAATCACCTGGGTGAAGAGTGGGCCCAGATGACTTTCAATGGCTGCATAACCTATTCTGTCCTCTGCTGTGATCTGTTTCCACATGTGACATCATTTAACTCTGACATAATTTCACCCTTTAAGAGATGAGGAAAGAGAGTAATAGAGAGCTTGCCTAGCATTCACAAGGCCCTGGGTTCCATCCCTAACACAAAAACAGAGGTGAAGGAATTACATGCCAGTGTGTCTGCAAATATGTTGTGGATGTAATGTGTCAGAGATCCCTTCGATTGATACTAAGAATCTATTCACTTACAACAAAGGAAAGGAGGAAGAAACCCCATTACTAGATAAGCAGCGCCTCTGCAGTTCCCATCTGTCTCCCAGCCAGGCTGTAGCTTCCTCCACAGTCCCAAAGTCACTGTCTTCACAACACTCAAGGCCTCACAATTGTTCACACAGTGTCCTATTCTTTGCCACGTTGTCCTGGAAAAGAGTGCAGACTCCAGTAAACTCACTTTGAGTTCCTACTCACAGTCCTGAAGCCAGTAAGTGCCTTGCTCACTTGAGGCACTGCCTAAAGAGGATTTAACTGATCTGTCATCGCCCTTTAGTGAGTTTTCTTATGCAAGAGGCCCAACAGTCTCCCCTCCTCTCACCCTGACACTGATGAATCTTCCAGTGACAGGCTCCAAACCTGATTTCTGAGGAGTTTTTCCCAATGTCCAGCTCTTCAGCCAGTCACGTCAGCCCTGATCAACCCCAAGGTGCTAGAGCTCTGTGAGAAGTAAATCCCACTCTGGCCCATGCAGGCCACTATAGACCCATGCCTTTCTATAATTTGTTTTGTCTTCTCTCGTTTTGTTACAAAGAAGCAGAAACAACAACAAAAAAATTCCAACTTGGGTAGAGCAGGCAGGTTTACAATAAAAATAGGTAATACCCTCACAGAGCACTAGCAAGGCACGCACTTTAAGGTGGGAGAGAAAAGGAAGACATTAACTCAGTGGAGAATTGAAGTGTGGCCTTAAGATAAAGTCATACTGGGTGGACCAAGTTACAGTTATTACATATGTCTTCCTTGCCTTCTCATGGACATTTAATCTGCCCACCACTCAGGCAAAATACTGTGCTACCCTTGGATGGGAATGTAAGATCATCCATACCTGAGCAGGAGCAGCCCTTACAGATACGGTTCCCTTTCTAATCAGGAAGACACAAGAACGTGGGTAATGGCAAAACAAAATCGTGCATAATAACACAAAGTTACAAAGAAAGTCATCGGGCTCCAGAGACACATGTAATGGTCAAAGGGAAGATTGCATGTTAAATTATTTCATATCTTACAGTCTTTTAAATTTTTTTATTTGGATAGTTTGAAGCTTTTATGTACATTTTGTCATGAATTCCCTGTCCCACTTACTGACCTTGTTCTGTCCTGCTGTGTGGTGGCCTTGCCTGAGGCCAGGGTTCCTGGGCCTCCACAGCCAGAGCACTGAATTGTATTTCCTTACAGCTGGCGTACATCGGATACCTGATGCTCTTCAACTATATCGTGTTAGTGAAGATGGAGCGCTGGCCTTCCACCCAGGAATGGATCGTCATTTCCTACATTTTCACCCTGGGAATAGAAAAGATGAGAGAGGTAACTGCTTCATAAAAGAAAACACAGCAGCAAGATGATGGTTTATTATATTTGTGGATGGGGGGGATGGGATGCTTGGGGTCCAAATTAAGGTGGAAACAATTTTCTCTATTGCTGCTAAGGACTGTTCCTTTCCTTTTTGACAAACCTTAAGAGATTTCACAAAGTGATTTCATCTATTTTCTCCTCACATAGCTTCTTCCCCAGGACATTCTCCAGTTGTCCTCCACATCATTTTCACCTCTCTTTACTTGTTCCTATAAACAAGACTTTTTAAATTTTGCTATTTTTATCTCCCATTTCAACGCCTTACTCTGAGTCTCTCTGGACACAGTCCACCAGTACAATATCATTTCTCCAAATGTGTTTCAGCAGCTCCAGGAGGGGATCTACTTTCATTCGTTTATTTAATTTCTTCTCTAGTTGATTCCTTCTCAACATTTGCCATGTACCAGATGGGCACTTGCCACCCAAATAGGTGAATGGAACACAGTTCTGTTTCCCTCTTTTATTCCCTCATATGGCCTAAAATACCACACCTAAATCCCACCCTTATATTATTTATTTGAAATCAACACTAATCCTCCAGCTTTAATATTATCCAATGCTAAAAGGAAATGAGTTATGAAGCCATGAGAAAACATGGAGGAATCTTAGATGTGTGTTACTAAGTGAAAAAAGCCAGTCTTAAAAGACTACCATATGATCAGAACTATATGGCATTCTGTAAAAGGCAAAACTATGGAGATGTAAAAAAACAAATCAATGGTTTCCCAGGGTTGAGAGGTAGGAAGGATGACTAGGAGGAGCACGGAGGCCGTTTAGGATATGAAAATACTCTGTATGATACCATAACGTGGAGACTTGTCCTTACACACTTGTCTAAGCCCATAGGAAAATACAGCACCAACAGAAAGCATGATGTCCACTTTAGATTCTGGGTGAGAAGTGTGTTGATGGAAGTTCATCCCAGTTGTAACAAGTGTGCTACTGTGATGGAAGACATTGATAATGAGGACTTAATGCCTGTGTTGGTGACAGAGGACATATGGGAATTATCTGTACCTCCCTCTTGATTGGCTTGTGGTTCTAAAACTGCTCTGAAAAGTAAAGAGAGAAAGAGAAGGGAAACAGGGAAGGAAGATGGAAGGAAGGAAGGAAGAAAGGAAGGAAGGAGGGAGGGAGGGAGGGAGGGAGGGAGGAAGAAAAGGAAAGGGCTCTTTAGATTACTAGAGCTTCTAAAATGAATGTGATCAAGCAAAAATCCACAAGAGGGCTCTGCAACCCTGCTCAATGCTCTCCACAAACTACTGTTTCACCAGGGAAACTAGCCAGGGAAGGCAGATTTGTGAGGTGGTATGGATTTCTCTGCATCCTCCCTGGAACTGCAGTGAACAGGCTTTTTTTTTGGAAGAAAGGCTACAGTCATGTCTGCTGTACCTCTACTCTCAAGAGCTCGGAAATAACCATGGTTGCTGCACTACAGTGAGTGAGCAAAAAGAAGATTCCTACCACCCACAGACCTACCCTTGCCTGAATCACTAAGACAGGTTCAAAGGTCCCTACCTTCTTGAATGTCAGCTCTAGAATGTTCTCCAGAGGAAAAAAGATGCAGTATCTTTTAGGTGTACTTGCATTGGTATTACTACAAACAAAACAAAACTCTTCCTCTGTATTCAGAGCCCTTCTCTTGGGATTTTAAACTGTTTGGGAATGTTTTAGTTCTAACTAGCATGTCCCCATCCTGAGAATTTAGGAATGTACTATCCCTTTTCTTTTTCTTTGCAGTTTCAGGGATAGAACCCAGGACCATGCTCATGTTAGGCAAGCACTCTGTCACTGAGATACACACCCCAGGTTCCATTCCCATTTTATAAGGGATTGGATTAAATTAAACACAAACAAAAGCAGTGGAATGCTTTGTGTTGCTCCAACCAGTTGTCTACACTGCAGTCTTCCCATTTGTAGTGCCTTCTGTTTCTTGACCAGTGCTGAGGGTTTCCTGTTTGTAAACTGAAAAACAGTAATAAATTTGCTTAGGTCTTTGTATAGCTCTCTGAGAAGTGAGCCTCCTCCTGCTAGGATCCCTGTCATTATGCAGTGCCAGCTGGCACCCTTGCAACTTGACGCCCAGATGCATATTCCTTCCCCATGATAAGCAGAAGAGGGAAAGACTGGAGCACAGAGATTGGAGGCTCTCCAGGGACTAGGCTGGAAGAAGACAGGGAGCAGCCTGTACTCCATGGACTGTTCTGGTGGAGGCTGCCAAGCAGGCGGGCTGCCAGGAACCTCCAGGCCTAGCTATCCATTTCTCCTGAGGCGGCATGTCATGGCAGGGAAGGCAGGGCTTCTGAGGTTGGGGTCAGAAAGGGGTCAACTGAAGAGTCCTTGCTTCTGAGGAAGCCATGGGGAGTAAGGTGGTGTCGACTCTTAGGCCTGACCTTTCCCTCTGCAGCCTGGTGAAGTCACCTCTCACCCCTTGTCCCTGTCCTGAACTCAGTAGAAGAGGCTCCACTACCAAGGAGGTGAGGACCCCACAGGGCCCAACCTTCCTGTCTCATCCCAGTTGGCACACAGCCTTCAGAAGCTCAGACGCAAGATCCTGGAAACATGGAAAAGTTTGCACACTTCCGTGCCTTCTGAGGACACACAAGGCAGGCTTTGTGGTTTCTCGTGCTGCCCTCCTGTTCCCATCACCACATACTTCTGCCTGTGGTCACTAGAGCCAGCCGTGATAATCCCTTAATAACGAGGCACTGTTTACCATGTTTTAGTAGACGTTATCTCATCCAGGTTCTCCTCCCCATAACTCTGAGGTCAAGGCCAACTTCACAGGTCTGGGAATGCAGACTCAGGGGATTAAGCAATTTTTTGTAGCCCACAGCCTGAAAGGAGGTGTAGGTCTGAAACCTACTGGACCATCTGAAACTCGCTGCTCTGTTCACTGTCCTGTGATGCTCCACAGGGTCCCAGGATGCTAAGACAGGTGCCAAAGGGCTGGCTCAGAAGTGAGGGGCAGAGAGGGGGACTCTTAACCTTTCAATTCTACTTCATCATCAGCTGCTCTACTTTAATCTCTATTTTTAATGTTAAGACTCCATGGGAAAAAAAATGTTTTCCCTATTTAGAAAGTATACTCTAAACCTCTGTGGTTAGCATTTTCAGCAAACCGTGAGCAAAAGTTTAGAAAAGCTCTAAGACATTGCCATACCCTCCCTACCCTTCTTCCCCCATCTAGACACAGATTTTTGCCTACTCAAGTTAAGCCAGAGAGTAAGAAGCCATCAGGATACCACCGCCTGCAGGAATTGCAGGTGGACAGTGGTTCTCACACTGTGATCATCATCATGACCCAGGAACTTGTTAGAATCCTCAGCCCCACTCCTGGCCTGCTGAATCAGGAGCTCAGTGGCGGGGTCCAACCACCTGTGTTTTGCCAGCTTTGCAGGTGATTTTGATGTACTATAGCATTTATGAAACCCTGGGCTAGGCCTCAGAGAGGGGACCCCATAGAGGGTGGAGAATGAAGCTACCAAGTGGCTCTTGGTATCTTGTTCAGCCTTCTAAGGCCCAGTCCTGACTTACTAAAACCTCCCTGGTTTTAGTGGACATGAGGGTTTAACAAAGAGATGCACATAGTCCTATCCCCAGTCTTCTCTCCTGTCCTTTGAGAAGTCTTAAGTGGGAGGACAGTGGGTCGTGGTTTGAAGAGATGGAACCTCAGAGGTAAACACAAGAGATTCGTAAAGCTAGCCCTGCTGTACAGCATCGCTAAGTGGAGTTCCCAACTCCTCATATGCTGGGGCAGAATATGGGGCAGAACGGGTGCACCTTCTGATTCTGATGCCAGAGCTAGAGTAGAGAACAAAGGAGAATATGGCAGGATATGAAGTGAGGCCATAGTAAGGAGTTTGGGTTTTTCTCTTTTTATAACAGAAACCATCAGAAAGTTTAGTATGTGGTTATCCTAATATGCTTTAGTTGCTCTCCAGCTAGCTGTGAGTTTCCTAGAGCTCATTTATGGTTGCTCCCCTAGGCTTATGGTAAATTAAGAGTTCTATGCAGGCCAGCCACTGTGGTTCACATCTATAGTCCCAGCTACTCGAGAGACTGAAGCAGGAAGATTGCAAGTTCAAGGCCAGCCTAAGCAATGTGGCTTAGCAAGACCCTGTCTCGAAATTTAAAAATAAAAAAATTAAAGGATATGGATGTAGCTTAGTGGTAGAGTACTTATATAGCTTGTATGAAGTCCTGGGTTCAGTCCTCAATATTGCTAAATAAAATGAAATAAAATAATTCTACCCAAAAGTTAGGATATGTAAGAGACTGGAGAATTGCTGTCAGATATTGACAAATATTTATTGAGTGTCCATTATGTAATAGGCCTTGGTTACAGAGAGTCTGCCCTCAGGGTTTTTAATCTAGAGAAAAGAGATGGGTGGACGGATGGATAGATGGATAGATGAGTGAATGGATAGAAAAATAGACACGACACACATATTCATAGAAACATACATATGCATACATAGGAAAGATAATTTCACATAGTAATAAAGACTTCGAAAAACTTAAACAGGGTAATAGCAACTCAGAGACATGGAGGCTACTATAGCTAGGATGGTCAAAAAGGCCTTCCTAAGAAGAGGACATTGGAGCAGACACCTTAAGAATGAGGTGAACACAAACATAAAACTGGGTTTTTAGTTTCCCCTTTTTAAAACCAAGATCTAATTTACCTGTAACAAAATGAACACGTTCTCAGGCTGCAACTTGATGAGTTTTTATCTATACATACAACTGTGTGATCACCAGTCATGGCCTAGGTCTCCAAAGAGCATTCTGTATGTCTCTTAAAGAATGGATTACAGTCCGCTAGGCATAGTGACAACAGGGATACCAATTAGAAGATGGCTGCAGTTGTGTCCCAGATGTAACAGAACTTGGAATTTGGCAGCTGCAATAAAGGTAGCAAGAAATGGTTGATTAGGTTGTACATAGAGATTTGTTGATGTAAGAGAGAATGAAAGAGTCCTTATACAGGAGTGGCCACAGTAACCTAATATGGCAGAGTTGTTTCTTGCAATGGAGGAAGAGTTGGAGGAAGATCTGCAGTGTGTTAAGTCAGCAAGACCCCAATTACGTCTCCCAAAGGATCAAACTTACTGCTTGTATCTGCCTCTGCACTATGCACATCTGTATCACCGAAGCTTAGCTCAGTTTGTACATTCACATCCCACGTAAGCATTCAAGTAGACACAGGTAGACACAACAGCTTCTGATGCCAGCTAACAGACCAAACACTTTCCAACTGGGCTGAAAGCGTAAGAAGAAACCACACCTCACCCCCACTCTCTGTCCTGCCTTATAGATTCTGATGTCAGAGCCAGGCAAGCTGCTGCAGAAAGTGAAAGTGTGGCTGCAGGAGTACTGGAATGTCACAGACCTCATAGCTATCCTTCTGTTCTCCGTTGGAATGATCCTTCGTCTTCAAGACCAGCCTTTCAGGAGTGATGGGAGGGTCATCTATTGTGTGAACATCATTTATTGGTATATTCGTTTACTAGACATCTTCGGCGTGAACAAGTATCTGGGCCCTTATGTAATGATGATTGGAAAAATGGTAAGCAAGATCCCCTGATTCCATGTTGTAAGTTCTCAGGAAAAGGTGTTAATAATTGGAAGAGGGATATAATTCATTTGGATGTGTTACTGAGGTCTACAGGACATGGCCCCAGCAGTGTTTTATTTTTTTCATTCCTTTTGAGTGTTTGAGAGTTAGGCTACATCTACATTCAAAACCTGGGGAGTTTGATCATTAGCCACTCATTTGCAAGCTGAAAAATATGTAAAGATTATCTTTTTTGTGCCAGGCAGTGGCCTAAGAACTTGACTATACAAATGTTCTTTCCATGAGATTGAAATATACAGAAAGAGAGAAAAAAAGTAATTGACACACAGGGTGAAAAGCTGTAACTGAGATATGTATAAAGTACAAAAGGAACGTAGGAGCTGGGCATATAACCCCAGCTCCTTGAGAGGTAGAGGCAAGAAGATGGTGAGTTTGAGTCCAGCTTAGCAAAGTTAGTGAGATCCTATCTCAAAGACAAAATTAAAACAAACAAACAAACAAAAACAGAATGTAAGGTGGGGTGTTGCTCAAGTGGTAGAATAAGGTCCTGGGTTCAATCAGAAGTACCATAGAAAAGGTGTGGGGGTGGAGCATAGGTCAGGAAAGGATTTACACAGAGGTTACATTTTAGCTGAACTTGGAGGAATGGGTCTCCACTACAAATTTTTTAAATTCTTAAAAGATGTTCTTTTAAAATGAGATTCTAGAAAGATTTCTTTCCCTACACAAAGGGAAGAAAAGCACAGTTGAGTCGAGTTGAGTTAGGTTGAATTTAAAAAGACTGATACCTGTTTAAAAAAAAAAAAAAAAACTAGGTTCCAGATCGATGCAGCTACTTATCTAATTCTTTGAAAAAGAATCCCGAGTGACAAGCTAATATATGTCTGTACAAATGATAGAGGACTTACTTATTCCAATACCTCTGAACCCCACTCCAGTTCCCTGTTTTCGTGAAGGCTGAGCCCTAGGAGGACAGTACCAGTGTAAACCTGGGGGTGCAAGAGTAGATGATCTCCCTCACTAACTCACCAGAGGACACAAGAGAACCTGAGGGCACATTTGTCAGTTCCCCTGCTCCTCCAGGTTTCTCCACTTCCTCACCTTTATAGGAAAAGCTAGATACATCCATCCTACCTGGGCAAACATCTCCTAATGAAAACCCTCTTTGCTAATAATTTTCATTTACATTGAAGCAAACAAGTGGTGGATAGATGCCCTTTTTCATTATCACTTAGGTTTCACTATATGCATCACTACTAGCTCAATATTTATTAAACATCTATGTATGTGCAGCTCTGCTGAAATGAGTCGTAAATAACCAAAACTGCCTACAAAGAAGCACTGACAAACTCATGCAAAGAGAGGGAGAATTTGAATTCAAAATTAATGGAGTAGGAGACATGGAGCAATTTGCTTAACCTCTTTGAGATTCAGTTTACTCATTTTTAAAGTAGTAATGAATATTAAATGTGTATCTGGTAGGGTGGTTGTAGTGGATTTCAAGATCACATGCTAAATAGCTAACCCTGCCTGGCTCCTAGTTCAGTGGTTGATAAATTGTATCTGTTGTCATTATGTTTCTATTGTTTTATAAAGTACAATGAAAATAGGAAAATTGATGAGCATACATAGTCTGCTATCTACCTAACCTTGTGTACACAAGCTTGGTATTTATCAATACCAGCAAGTATAACCAAACCATTTTAGAGTGGAAACACTGGAATTCTCAAGTTGAGTTACCCAAAGCTGAACCTCAATTCAATTGGGTATTTTTTGAGTAGGAAAAAAAATGTGTATATTACTCCATTATTCTGTCTGTTGTATCTTCTTCTTTGTACTTTAACAAAGAATTTGAGATTGTGGTGAAAATTCCTGTGTAAGGCAGAGTCTGTAGATGGGGCAGAGGATCTGTGGGCACCCACTCCCAATTTGTACATAAAAAGTATGTGTGTGAATTTCCTGAACAGAGAGGACGAACCTTTATGATATTCTCAAATGTATTCTCAAATGGACACAATGAAAATGAAAAACTCTAACAGCTATAAAATTAGGCCAAGTTTTCATAACTTTGACACTCTTGATGCTTTGAACTGAGTAATTGTTTTTATTTTCTTGAGACAGGGGATTGCTACGTAGCCCAGGCTGTCCTGGAGCCTAAGATTCAGACATACAGCACCACACTTGGCTTGGGCTGGGCAATTCTTTGTTGTGTGGTGCTGTCCTATGCATCACGGGCTATTTAACAGTGTCCTTGGCCTCTGTTCACTAGATGTCAGTAATGCGTGGGCACATACACGCACACCCAGAGTTATGACAGCAAAAATGTCTCCAGACATTGCTAAATGTCTGCTAAGGGACAAAATTGCCCTCTGTTGAGAACCACTGCATTAGGGAATCATTCAATTGGATTGGTGATTTTATACTCATTGCTATCTTATTTGATTTTAACAAATAGAATCTGCAAGAGCCAAACAAACCGATTCTATTATTTTTAAAAGTCTAGGTGGCATTTAAAATACTTGAAATAACAAAAGTCACACTAGTGAAGCAAGATTATTTTAAAATCCATGTCTGTCATTTTAATGATGGCATAATTATCCCCAGTTTTGATAAGAATGAAGCCTTACTAAGGAGTGAGCAAAAGGGATGTACTGCATTTTCCCTACTCTCTAACTTGTGAATGACTTCATTTATTAGTCAAGAATAAGCAGAAAATGAGGATATTTGGGACTTTGCGTCTCCTTCGTGGGGCTTTTAAGATAATTAGCTCAATAATTGACTCATTGATCCAGAAGGTAGATAAAATATGCCTGTAGAATATATCAGTGAGCCAGATGGGCTGCCAGGATGGAAGCTTAACAGAGTCTGCCCAGATGTGTTTATACAGAAAGCCCTCAACATTAAAGAGTCCCTTGTCAGTACTACACACCCAGGTAACCCACTGTGCCCTAAGGTCTAGGGACAGATAGCTAATATGATTCCTGACAGAGGATGACCAGGTGTTCATTTTGAAATTGGTTCAATGTATCTTTGCATTATAGAAGAAAGCTTTGCACCAAATGCCTAACGGGGTGGAAAACCTGAATCTCCAGGATGATTCCAGTTGATCTGCAGGTCTAGGATCCCTTGAAACCCTCACCCAGTTCTTTCATATACCACTTCTTGAGGGAAGTCTCTAAGCCCCGTACTGAGCTCACTTGTACAAAGCAGAATATAAACCATAATAAGGACTATCACTTACTGTGTGCCAGATACCATGTGAGACAGTCTTGGGTCTCACCCCATGAGACAGGTTTTAATGTCCTTGTTTAACAATTGAATAAACTGATACTCAGCCAAGAACAGTGACAAGATTCAAGCTTCTAACTCCACAGCCAAACCTCCTCTCAACTCTAATGATAATACATTAGCATTCGTGGAGTACTTACCATATCAAGTTTTCACATGCTATCCTCTTCATCCTTCTAAAAGTAACATGCATTATTATTATTATCCCCATTTTTTAAATTAAAAAATAAGACTAAGCAATTCACCTCAAGCCACTTAACTATCTTACTTTTCCTTTCTCTTTTTTAGTGATCAGGAAAACCTTCATTTTTTTGTAGTCATTTTTTTTTTTTTTGGTGGATTTTCTTTCCATGTAGCTATTTTTACTAGCAGAGCCAAAATCAAAATTCAGGTTGTCTGACACCTGAGAGCACATGCTTCATCACTCCAGAATACACTGAAAGATGCTTACGAGAAAAGGACAGGGTCTTAATATTGAACTAACTGGATATGTTAATCTTGAAAACAAAGGAAGCCAGCCCCTATCTCACACTAAACCTCAGACTTTGGTATTTATATGGAAGTGAAGACTTTGAAATAGATGCAACTAACCATTGAGAAGAATGTTTCTTCTCTTTGATTATTTTGACCTTGTGGATAGATATCAGAATAAATCTGAATAAAAACAGTACTTAGAAATTAAATTAATACAGTTTCCATATTTACTGACTTTATTTTTTTGGTCAAACTGCCTCCTAAATTTTCTGAGTACACACCTTCCTTTCCCATCCATCTTTTAATCAATGTAAACAAGCATAACATGAATGCCTATGGGTACTCTTTCATTGAAAGAACTTTCTGTACATAGTAATGCAAGAATTTTATGAAACAAGAAAGAAAAAGAGATGATGAACAATAATCCATGTTTCCTATGAAACTGTTTCAGCTCAGTCAGCTTGCTCTCTTAGAGAGTGTTCTGAAGCCACTGAACTGTGGAAGGAATAAGGACGATGACACACAAGAAGTTTGGAGAGATTTCTATTTAGTTTGAAAATCACCTCTGTCCTAAGGCATACAGGAAGACTGTAATGTTCAAATTCTAAGAATAAATGACATAGAATATACTCTCTTAAAATAAAAACTTAAAATGAATTTAGAGGGCCACAGGTGTCACTCAGTGATAGAGTATGTGCTTAGCATGCATTGGGCCCTTGGTTCAGTCCCTGATATTAAATTTTTTTAATAAAATAATTTTTAGCCTTCATTATCATTGATAAAAGTAGCATTTGTCATTCTTTTAAAATGGGTCTCCCTTCTGGAAGTATTATGTCCAATAAAAGGTAGTATTTTGTATCAGGCAGTTTGATGCAAAAGGTAGAAAGAAATATCCAATAGCTAAAACCTAGAAGGGACATGATAACATAGAAGGCCTGGATAGAACTGTCCTTAACAGCTACTGCAAGCTGCAACTCAACCACTGTTAGGACTCACTCTCTTTGCCTTGCATATCTGTTTCACTCACTCTGATCCATTTGCGGGGGGGGGTATGCTGAAGTATAAAGAAGGAAGCATTATAAAGAAGAAAAGAACTTCTCCCTCCCAGCTTCAGTTACAAAAAATGGCAGTGACTGCTTGTAATATCAGTACCTGAGATATGATGCTAGCCTGATTGCATAGTTAGTTCAAAGACAGCCTGGCTTTATAATGAGACCCTGTCTCAAAAGATAAAAAAAAAAAAAAAAAGATTGGGCTGTCTTCTGTCACAGTCCTTACCTCCCACCACCGTTGCCAGGTGATTAACCTTGCCTGGAAGACACACCTTCCTTGTGGCCAAATGGGTGGGAACTATTTCTAAAAGGGATTTCTAAAAGAAAGGTTCTGAGACAGGCAAAATCAATAGTTATTGCATCCTCATCTTTTTCGGATGAAAAAAGGAAAGCAGTTTGCCATATAAGAAACATCATAAATAACATATATCATTGGAACAAACAAGGAAGAAAGAGGTAATATTGTATTCGAATTTAGGCAGGAAGATTTTATAAACATGTCATGGAGAAAATCCATTATTTCAGTAGCAGGAACAGGTATGGGTTGTTGGCCACATGATTCTAATACCTAAAAAGATACCCTCCATAACTTAATAGGGTACCTGCAGGAGAAGTATAGAGAGTCATGCTCTGAGAGACTGGTATGTGGTAGAATATCATATTATTGGATGTCACAGACATAAGATTATGGCCATCTGGTTTATCCTGGTTTTATTTGTAAGAAATTATTTTCTTGAGCTTTCCAGTTCTTTGTTAGCTTTTCAGAACTCAGAAAGGGAATGGACTGCATTGTACTAGTTCTTAAAATAGTTCAACTATCCCAATTCCGATTTTGCTAAGAAGAAAGAAACCCAAAGAGGACATCTACCTCTGCTAACAAAATCATCTGTGTTATATAATTCTGTGCCTGGGCTTAACTATGCCCCATAGACATCCATGGAAAACAAAAGGGATCCATTGAGTGTGCTTTTTTTTAAAATGTTTTTTGATTCCGTACATATTGGCTTAAGTAGACCAACTGTCCTCTTATCTGGACACAACTCCCTATGTAAGCATTTCTTATCAGCAGTCTAGAAAGTGAATCTCCTTCAAAGCTTTCCATCCTTGTTGGCATCCATAGGAACACTCAATCACTTGGGTTTTCTTTGTTTCTCCCTCTACTTCTCCACCCTTCCAGATGATAGATATGATGTACTTTGTCATCATTATGCTGGTGGTGCTGATGAGCTTCGGGGTCGCCAGGCAAGCTATCCTCTTTCCCAATGAGGAACCATCATGGAAACTGGCCAAGAACATATTCTACATGCCCTATTGGATGATTTATGGGGAAGTGTTTGCAGACCAGATAGACCGTAAGCAAGTTTATGATTCTCATACACCAAAGTCAGGTATTTAACTTCAATTGGGTTGTGTCTTTTCCAAGTTCATTTGTTTGTTCTCAATAAATGGCTCAAGATAGAGGACTGATTCCTAGCTTGCTATCTTGGTGGAAACAAACAATTATGGAAGGTGAATATATAATTTTAACAAAGTATTCCTCAGGTATATCTTCAGGTATGTCCTTTCTGTGACACAAATTGATATCTAGTGTGCCAAATTTGATCCAAAAAGGAACCATTTAAAAAGATCTACTTTTTTGTGATTCAAATTCTTAAGGCCATGTGTTGGGTATTTCAGTATTGGGAATATATAATGTCACAACTCCCCACCTCTACCCCAACCCTTAGTCCCAGCCTTTAGAAAATAAATTCCTTGAGTTTGACTTCAGAACAAATAAATAATTCACAATTTCACCATCAGAATTTAAGAGTAAAGGCAAACATCTGTATGGTGTTTTCCCTGCACTGGAAACTATTCTCCAGCTCCCTTTCCCGCTGTCTTAAATTATGTGTTATTGAGACTCATAGGAAGCTAGAATTCATTGCCAAGAAGTATGGAAAATGCCTTAGGTCATAGGCTGAGTTGCTTCCTGTAAATGCTAGGGGGAAAAAAAATAGTGTCTATATCATGAAGTGATTCAGTGTGGGGACTGAGAGCCAGAAGGCCCCCAATGTTTCAAGCCCTCATAGATGTTGATCTCTGTAATAAACACTCCTTTTGTGTGGAGTTTGAAGATAGTTTTAACCCCGGAGTCTGTTCCAGGATTTTATTTGGACCAAATGTCAGGGTTCACCAGGCACTGGGAAATTACTTGGGAAGAAAACATGAGTAAAGAATACATCTTTCAGTGTGGAGGAGTGGAATCCCAGGAGCAACTCTTTCTCATTTTCCCTGAGGAGTTTAGCTCTGGAAATAACATCCTTCCAACATTGTTGAATTAACATTTTTCAGACATTTTTGCTGACAGGACAGCCATCTGAGCCCTGGATTGTGAACATGGATTAGGATTACATAATCAGGTAGGATAGCTTATTAAGAGCAGGAGCAGGGACAAGTCAATACCCCAACCCACACACATATCTATCCCACGTAGGACTGAGACTAAGAACTTAAAGACAAAGCACCAAAGAGTGCGAGTCCTTTAGCCTGAGAAGAGTATGTGTATACAGTACACACCAGTGCATCATTTCCCCTCCATGACAGATTTTGAACAATTACCTTTTTCTTCTCAAAATACGTTATCTGAGGCAAGCAAGACTTTCAAGAACACCTAATTGGAAGAAATGTTTCTTCCATGAGACTTAGCCAACTCACTGTGGAAGAATTTTAACTCCGTCCCCTCACTTTACTGTCTTTTGTTGACAATGTGCAAACTTCATGAAGATGGTTTCCAGGGAACTGGAGAAAATCCTTTTGAGAGCCTCCTTTCAAATGGTCCCTTCAGGCAAAACAACACTCAAAAAGCCCACCTATCATCATTCTCCTCAGAGATTAAATGTGTTATTTCCTCCCAGAAATTTCTTTTCCAGTTTAGTTATATTATTTTGCCTTTTCTAGTTTTCTTTTCTTCCCCAAAATGAGATGAAGCCCCCAGGGGTTTTTTGACAATACAGAATGGAAGGAGGGAGGTGCAGATGTTTTTTATAAATGGGATTCTGTCTGTCCCTCTACAAGTGGCCATTTATTGATGTTGTACTATGAACCCAGCCTAGTGCAACAAACACCACCATCTGGCTGAATAAGAAGAGTTATTATTGCTATTTTAAAAGAAGGGCTGATTGTAGTTTAGAACTTGAACACCCCGGAGACGGAAGAGAGGTGTTTTGTGTGAGTGAAGTATGAAAATAGATTTGCCACACTGTGAATTAGATCTGTGGTGCTCTACGTGTGTGAGAATAAATTTCTACCCCAAATCCCAATATATAACTGACCCAACCTTAGATGAATACAACCTTGGTGACCCCCCTTCCCTCAACCACTTACCTTCCCATGTGATGTTCTGAAATTGGCTGCAATGGTAGCCACTGTTCTAAGCTAAATCAGCCAGTTGTCTGTGTAGAGTGCTAAAAAGTAGTTGTCCTTTCTCAAATGGATATACAAGGCTGTCCCTAAATCTTTCATTACCTTTGGCCAAGGTCACTGAACATCCCTGTCCTCTAAATGGTTTGATATCTGTGCTATGGCACTGGTGGGCCCAATGAGGATTGGATGACTGACCCACCTGATTATTCAGAACTGCCAAGGAGAATTAAGTACCAAGCTGTTTGAGAAAGGTACAAATCATTTATGCTGCCCTACAGTGTCTTGCCTCTTCTCTGTGCTGTGTCCAGGTTGGTTTGTGAAGCATGTAATCAGGCTGATTGGATCTCATATCCACCTGGACCCATGGCCCTGCCCAGGGCCTACCAGTCCCATTCTGTGAATGTGCCCCGTGTGGCTCTCTCCAAGTGCTGCTCATGCAAATGCACCTTCTTTGAGGGACTTGTTCTAACGTGATGCACGTGCTCCATATCTAACTCTTGTTATCTTTGACTCCAAAAATTGCTGGACCCATTTCATGTTTGGGGAAATAACCTCTTTCTTAACTGAGATGGATATTGGTGGATGTGCAATGGGACCCTTGGGATGGCTTTCTAACACACACTTCAGAATGGAGGATGGCTTTAATTCCCTCACTTCTAGAAGACAGTGTTATCTAAGTGTAGATTTTTTGTACACATTTCATCTTTTTTCCTATCATTCACCCCAAACACAGAAACTACCAATAGGGCTAAGGACTCTAGAATGACACTTGTAAGGTTACTTTCCAAATGTGCTTAAAAACTAAAATCAAGACAAAAAATGGAGTCATATAAAATCACAAAATAAGTGCTTGCCACCTCTCAGCCATCTTAGACTAACACAAATAATAGTTCAGCCCTAATCTAAATTATCTGTGGAGGCTGAAATATTTGCTTTGGTGTTGGAAGCAGAGAGGTGTACAAAACAAGACTGGAATCAGAAGATGGACAGTGATGATCTGCTTTTCCCTGAAACTAGGCCTAATACTCTGATTTAGTTCATGGGAATTAAACCTGATGATGTTTGATTGGCTGGCATTTTGTTTTCATTCTATTTTGTCTTTTCATATAGTCCAAAATTGGCTTAAGAACTTGTGCTATATGAAATACCAGCACTCAAAGACCCAACTAAGGAATTCCATGAAGTGACTTGGACTCTGGGTTGTCAAATACACTGCTACAAATCATGACATTCTTTTGGGTATTCTCATTAGGTTAACCCATGTTGTGTGGTCTCTGAGCTTTGGTCAGGATCCCACTAGAGCTTGAGGGGGAAATGTCACTGAGAGGAACAACAGAATAAATTTCCAGCAGTATCCATGGCCAGACCAGAGCAAAGTTAAAATTCAATGGGTTCTTACAAACTGAGAAATGTAGTTCTACTGTTTCGTGGTAGGAGAGTGGGGAAACTTTCAGGAGCACCTTAAACTTCACCTTTCTTTGCAGAGAAAATGGAGTGTCTCTGGCTTTCTCTACCTCTGAATGAGGTAGAGACATCCATATGCTTGCTGTATATTCAGATTTTCCAGGCTGTACCAAGACAGGAGGAAAATGAATCATGCTATTGAATGCATTAAATGAGGCTCTAAATTTAGTCCTTCTTTCTGCCTTGCTGAGTTTTTTTTTTTAACAAGTTTAGATAGTACTGTGAAAGCAGAATGTCCAAAACTTACTTTCTACCATGACAACTTAATATTATCTAGCCATTTCCACTCACTCCAAATTAACTATCCAATCTACTTAATGCATGGGTCAATTTTTTTTCTTACTGCCTAGGGCTTTTCCATCTGAAATTAATAAGTAATCTGGAGTAGAAGTGATTTTTTCTTTTGTTTTTGATTGATAGCTTTAGCACAAAGGTTTGCTATTTAATAAAACAGATCCCTTGCTCTGGTATCCATGTTATCTCTGTGATGTTGACTGCAAACAAAGATCATGTATGTACAGTTAACACAGTCTCCTGGATTATTTTTCTGCCTCAAATTAATTGCTCCTCACCTCAGGTATGGAAATTAGGACAGCTCAAGAAGCCGGTCTCTGAAATATGCCTGCTTATAGCGAAGCTTAGCAGCATGAGCAGAGAGGATACCAATTGTTATGCATCTCAATCGTAGACTCCAGTTCTCAAAACTCAGGGCTATGCATCTGCTTAGTATTCCAGACTGACCTTCTTTAACGAATTCAGAACACACAAATGCCTAACAGCTATGGCGTGGAGAGGGTTGCCTGACCAAAGTTTTCTGGAAAACAAAAACTGGAGCCAGTGCCAACTTTGGGGAAAAGGGGAATTGTTTATTTGGGGTTTCTTTTCACAAGTTGCTGAGGAAACAAGTCAATATCAGGTGTCACTGTGCCAATTTTCTGTCCCTGAAAGTTGCCTCATAACATGGGCAATGCCCATGACTCGTTTACTAAGGCAAACTGAGGCTTTATGGATTTACAGATACCAGAGCTATCTGCAACAGGCCTCTGTGGTAATTCAAAGCATCATTGTGATCAGCATGTGTTCCATTATCATGACATTCACTTAACATTTGCTCACAGTTTGGAGTCCATTTTGAATTCATTTATTCTTCATCCAGTGGGTATTTATCTTGCTCCTACTATGAGCTCGAAACAGAAACAGAGATGCACATGACAGAGATACTGTCTTTAAGGAGCTTACAGTCCAGGAGAGGCACACTGGCCTTGACAATCTATGTGTACAGATAGAGTCCAAAGAAGACAAAAAGTCTTTTCTACCTTGGGTAAGAGTAAGAGTGTGATATTTGAAGCCTTGAAAAGATAAAGGAAGGTTGACTTGAGCCCTGAAATATGAACAGATATTTGCTAGGCACATGAGAGCAAGAGGTGTAAAGAAGGAAGATGGCATTCCAAACTGAGACTTTGTACAGAAAGCTTCAAGAATAGCAAATAATTTAATATGGCTGACTATAGAATGAGAGGCA